TTTCATCAGGACATATCTTACCGTGACCATTTATAATTCTTCAGTCTAAGATTTTGAATAGAGTTAATGATTCAATATCACTTCAAATAATATATGTAGAAATTTTAAAGAAAAATGCTTAACCCCCCCCCCAAAAAAAAACCATATGCAGGTTAGGAGAAAGTAAAAAAGCAAAAGCAATCAGAATAAATGAGAACATTTGAAATAGGATTCAAACTGTTATGACACGTATACAAGTGTCCAGCCAAGAAAGAGAAAGAAAAATACGCAATGGAATGCTGCAGTAAGACAAGAAACCGAGGATGTTTGACTGGCCTGTTTGCTTGCTAACAGAATTTATACACTGAATACTATAGAAGAAGAAATGAAAGAAGGGAAACAAATTAGGAGAAATAGTGACAAAATATTAAAATCTCATGAATACTGTTCACCATGAATTTGTAAATGACTGGTGTTATTTTCTTATAATACACAGGCTGTAGCACAGTTAGTAAATAAATTAAAACAATGATTCCATTTATTAAATCAATTAGTCTAAAATGTGTTATAAATGTTAACTGAGGATAAGCAGAAGTCATTTTGGATGAATTTAATCATCCTAATCTGTTGTTCATAATATAAATAGAAGTTTTAATATTTATTTGTAACTAAACTTCTATTCAACATGTTTTTGCTAGACATGGAAAATTTAGCTGAATATTTTAGTGACAAACATTTAAGTCTCTATCCTATAGTTGGGTAGATTAATGAAGAATTTATGCTGTACGTTTCTGTCTTGTAGCTAACAGGTTTCATTTGTTCTCATGTATTACACTGGACAAGGATTGACGAATGGATCAGCTGAAACATGTTAACAACAACAAATACAAAGAAGAAAATCAATGTTGGATATGTTAAGGAATTTTTTTTTTTCAAAGTTACAATCAATACTTCTTCCTGGAAGTTAGTTTCTTTAAATATCTTGCACATAGCAAATCTGTTTTGTAAAAATATCTTAAATTTCATTAAAAACAGACAAAAAATAAACGACACAGACAACTGGCTGTTTAGATTGCATAAAGGTTTTTGGTTTGTGTTTAGTCTACAGCTCGTCCTAACATAAGAACAAGAAAAGAATCTTAATGAGACCTACTCAAGATACAATTAAAAACACTCACATGGATAATAACAATGATGAAAACATCATATAACACAAGATGTGAAAGCAGAGAATGTGTGAAGAAAATCTAAAAATAAATGTTTCATGAATCATCCACAAAAAACGTGGTCAAAATCAAAAGAGTTTCTTTATAATGGTGGAAAATAGAAAACTTTTTTACAAGAAATTTCATGTCTGAAGACTTCAAAAGAATAAGCAAGAAATAAAATGAGAAGCATGGCTGAAAGTGCAGATTTATTTTCTTGAAATACAAAAAAAACAAAACATTTAAATAACAATCATTAAATCACAATGTGACAGGAACACTTACATTGAAATAAAGCAATGAAATTAGATGTTAAACAAACCAGTTACACACATACACAAAGGAATTGAAATATTTATAAAGAATGTAGTGAAAAGCTGCCTAGTTGTAAATGCATTCAGTTACTCTAAATGTATAAAATACTGAAGCATATTTAAAACTGTCTTAATGGTTGTCTCCCTACAAAATCATTTTCATTTGTTTGTTATTCAGTAATGGCTATTTAGAATTCCAACAAATTCTTAAAAAAAAAAAAAAAAAAAAAAAAAAAAAAAAAATTACATATGCATTCCGTAAAATCTTAGCAAGTAGTATAGCAAATCTTTCAAAAATTAATAACCGAAGCTGTAGATGCTTAAATGTATGGCATAATTGCCAGGTGAAATAACAAAAGGAAAAAAAAAAAAAGGAATTTGAAAATATGTTTTTAATGTTAAGTAATAAGGATGAAATTCATAGACAAGCTGGAAATGAGGCATTTTAATAGAACAGGACATGTATGAAAGCCTTCCTTCAATTTTAATAATCTTTTTATTTTTTTTGCACTTTATTTCAATTTTTTTTTATTTATCTCATTCTCAACCAACATTGCAGTCCACACCATGCTTGAATGTAACTTTCATTCTATGACTTCACTGTTCATTTTATATATATATATATATATATATATATAAAACACAAAAGGAAAACCTTTTTTTACTAATACATTTTATTCTTTGAGGGACTTTATCAAGATAAATGTGGAGATTTCATTTCATAATTTGTATTTACACACAAATGTGGAGGGAAAATATTGTTACATTTTCAAATTTTGATTTTCAGAATACTATAAAATATTTTTAAAACTTTTGTTGTGTAAAGAAACATGAACAGTAGAAGATGATAAGTGATGCAATTAATTGCCTAAGAAATGAAATTGAGTAAATGTAATTATTTATTTCTATGTATTTTATTTTATTTTGTTTAATTACTTTAAATACTTAAAGATCTTGACGTAAGTATTTACTTTTAATTTTTTTAAATCTTTATGATCATGCAGGTTGTCTTGAGAAAGGAAGGAGATGTTTGAAAAAATCCAGGGCCTAAGGTAACATTTTGGCAAGCATTGTTAATTACCCTCTCAGGAACTTTTCATTTAAGTAAATTATTTTCTCCTTTAATAGGGATAGCATTCTTGAAATCAAAGTTATGGTTGAAATTAGTTATAGACACAAATAATTTCAATAACTACTTTTTCTAAGCTATGATAACTGAAACATATACAATGCATACCAAAAGTCAACTGATCAAACCCACAAGTTATTGTTAAACAATTTTGTCTTAATGCTGTAGGCAGGCAAGTAAATGAAGAAATGCAATCTAAAAGACCTAAAATTCAAGAACCATTGTTCTTGAACTGATGAAGCAAACATAAATTTAGTTTGATCTTTCTTTTGTGTACTGAACAGCCCTGTGTCAAAAATATCTCGAAACCGACTATAACCAGTTCAGAATACTTCAAGAAAATAGAAGTGTCACAGTTGAACAGAAGCATCACATTTATTTGTGGGTGCATAAAATACTTTTACTTTTCCCAAACTGGTGGCTTCATTGACCAATTTTTGAGAGAGAACTGGTGTTACTTTCTATATTTCATACATATCCTGAGAGATTTATTAATGACTAGCAGTAGAGCCCGGCGTTGCCCGGAAATGTAACAGTAAGATATAGATCAAGTATCGACCATCATAAAGACTGAAAAATAAAATTGACAAAGATTATTGTTTAAGGTTGACGGACACGCATGTCTTAATTATTTATTTATTTTTTTTTTTTTTTTACAAATTGGTCAAAACCAAACTCAAACAAAAACATTGTTTTCAATCGTTATGAGTCCATCGACTGAATAGAATTTTATTATAAACAATTGTCTTGTAAATGGAATTTTTAAAGCATTCTGAATGTAAAAATAAAGAAAAAAAATATGTGCAAGACAATAAGAAACACTACCTGCCAAAAAAAAAAAAGTGAAGTTTTGTTGAAATCAGTTGAAAAAAATGTAGGAAATTCGATCCCATATATAAACGAACACATACACACACAAACAACCTGGGTTTTTATAATAAGTATAACTTGATATGAGTTCTCCCCTTTCATTCTCGCATGACAGCGATGCCTCTTAATCGTGTTTTCAAATTGATTTATGTAAAAACAATTGTTTTCCAATTTTGGCACTATCAGAACCACCGCAAGATAATTTTATGTAGTCCTGTGAAGTTTTGTTGAAATCGGTTGAAAAATGTAGGAAATCCGATCCAATATATAAACGAACAGACACACACACAACCTGGGTTTTATAATAAGTATGATTCCAACTGAAAAGAGCAGAAATGACAAAGAGTTCTTTTCACTTATTTCAACAACAACATATTTTGTACCAAATAATCTGTATCAATGAATGTTAGTGCAATCATTTGTACGTGTTATCAATAATCAAAAGTAGATATGTAGACAATGAGTAAACATTTTGTGATGCTGCAATTGTGAAGCATAGCTGCTGCAACAAGCAAATTTTTCACACTTCAATATTTATATGATCAATAGTTTTGATAATTAACAGGAATAGCAGTGTACAGTTCTGTTACTGTATATGTCCATTGTAGCTACACGCAGAGGAGATGAAGGAATAACTTGGATATGGGTTGGAGAGTTTCTGGCTTATATAGCTAATAAACAGAGTACAAAAATAAGATGACAAAATGATTTTGAGTAATTAAAAATACAATTTCAGACAAACAGTAAAGCTGAAAATAGCTTGGGGATGCAGCAACGGAATAAAAACTATTAGAAGCATAAACATGTCAAAATGGTGAAAAATAACAAATAAAAAAAAATAAAATAAAAAAACACAATGTAACAATGATCCTCCTCCAAAATCTAAGGCCCGAGAGACACATACTGTAGAAGTGATGATATTAGGTGCATCAGAAGAAAAGACATGTGGTAAATGTGAACACATACACCAGAGTGTGTAAACACAAAGAAAGCAAAACACAGATAGAAATTGCATGTTACATTAAGCCAAATGAAGCTAGACAAGCAAGAGTTACCATTTTGTAAGCAACTGCCATATTTGCTGGCCTACAAGACAGCATGTTTCATAAGTGTATTTGGAGGTGGGTGAGTGGTGGGTTGTGTCGCTACTGCCCCATGTAATGCATCAAAACATCATAGCAGCAGTCACTTTTGAGATTCACTAGAGAATTACCTAGTCATTGCATATTAGCCACAGTAAAATAGTCACATCAGTTTCGAGAGCGATGAGGCTGGTAGGGAGGGGGGTTCAATATGTGTCTTATATGCCAACAAATAGGCTAATTTAAATGATTAAAAATATATAGTTTTTGTTAAATGTTTCCTATTTAATATGAAAATAAAAGGTAGTAGACATTTTCTTTAATAAATAATGTTGAAAGATGTTAATCTTTAAACTTATCTCCGACGATTGACTGGGTTGGTGAGCTATCATTACTGACAGTTGTTTTTGTTTGTTTAAGATTAGAGAATTACCTTCCTTTTCCTGTTGTCTTGCCTTTCTGGCTTTCCAGAATAGATTCTTGTTTTGGGCTCCCATTTATTGGCGGGCTGTTCCCTAGGGGCATCACCACCAAAGTGGTAGCCCTGGTTCTGAGCACCTTCAGCAACAGCAGCACCAAGCTGGCCGGGAGTGAGCTCAAGACCACCACTCTCTGACGAAGAGTAGGAGCAGCAGACTTCCACCTAGAGAGCACAATGACACCACCACGACGATAACCATGACGACAACCACAGGTGAAGAAGTACAAGGAGGAGGAAAAATTAAAGCAGGCAGGCAGGCAGGAAGGGAATATAAAAGAAGAAAAAAGAATTTAAAAAAAAAATTACATCAACATGCTTACAAACCATGAAAATATAATATTAAAACTGTCATAGTAAATATGATTGTTTTGGTAGTAAATAGTTAAAAGGTCCAACTAAGGCTTTTGCTTTTTATAAAGAGATTAATTTATTATTTTAATAGTAAACTGGAGATTATATACAGAAAATTCAGTTTTTATGGTAAATTGATTAGTGGATGTAAAACTATATTTTATATAGTTTTTTTTTCCCCTTTTTAAGGGCCATATTCCTTCAGGATGTACATAATCATCACTTTCACAGCACACTTATCTGTAACTTGTGAATCCTCATGGCTCTTCTTGAAAAGATAAGAGACTGGTTTCCCTATTACCTTCCTCTAAACTATTTTCCAAGGTGAGAGAACCCTGACTACCCAGTTACTGAACCTAGAGCTAAGAGAAATGTAGATGTTATAGTCAAAGAAAAATGAAAAAATGAAAAAAAGAAAAAAAAAAATCCCTATTTTGAAAATCAAGTTCATCCTTATGTATTGGTTATGATGAAATTCATAAGAATCTTTGCCCAGCCATTAAACCACTTTCACAAGTTCTTCACAAGATAGTTCACAAGATATTTTGAGTTTTTCTTCTTTTTTTTTGTCTGAAAGTAGCTGATGAGATTTTGAATTATTTTTCCAATCAAGGTTTTTCTTAAGTTGTAAATTTGTAATAGTAATTTGACAGTTTGTAGATGTTGATGACTGTAAATAATGACTGTCTAGGGTAGCTGAAGAGCTATTTGATCACTATGATTCTGCAAAACTATCTTAGTCCAAAAGAGTTAACTGTTAACTGTAAGTGTAAAGTCCCTTGGATAAATGACGAAACATTGATTGTTTTTATCCCTTAATTCTAAAAAAATATATTTGTAAGCAACAACATACAATATAGATTTTGCTTTGTGAAAACTGAAATTCTAAGAATTATTTACAGCAAAGGTAAATATACATTAGACATAAACTGTTGAGAGGCAAACAAATCTGTACAATTTACCAACTGCTAGTTTTTATTGTTCACTTAGAAATCTCTTTGGGCATTCACTTTCTATTAGTGCAATAATCCTTCATTCTTACACAGCACAAAACTGTTATTATCTTGAGCTTGTAATTACAGTTTTCACATTTGTAACATCCAAACATTTTAAATAGTCAACATATGATAGAGAGAAAATTTCATAAAAAGAACTCATGAGTAACTACAAATGGTTGGCAAAGAGGTTTCCAGAACTTTACATTTTCTTTGTTTTATCAAAACACAGATTCTAGTGCATATAAGCAGTAATATTAAAAAAAAGGTTTTCTTGAACCATTCAATAAAATATATTGGCATCATCTGCAGTTATAGAGGTAAAAGTGAATGTTAACACACTGGTTTATTTGCATACTCATTTGAGAATGGAAAGCATTGCTGTTACTTTACTTCAATATTTCTTTATGTAACAGGAAAGATACAAAAGCTTTTTTATAACCAAATTTAGCAGCAGGTTTAGTTTAAATAAATCTGTTATGCTGTGTAATAAGAGGAATGCAAACATTACATTCAAGTTAGTACGTCAGCTATGGTGTCTGTGTGCCATATACGAAAAGACAGCAAATAATGTTTAGCGTGATCAATAAAGCTCAAAGTAGTTTTAGCAAATTGATAATTTGCTAAAACACTGACTGGCTGGTACTGATTACTGATATAAATCCACAAAAGGAAAACGGATAACATGACAACCAAGGATTTTCTTGATTCAATCAGCTAGTCAAATATGTGGGGACAAAATATTTAGATAAGAAATCATCTATAGAATAATACCTACTGCCTTATGGTGAGCATCATGCAGCCTCAGAACACATTCTAACAAACAATGCTGGTCAATGTAGTTGTTTTCTTATAGATCCATCAATGCTCTCATATTTCCTATAGAACATTTTCTTACAAAGAAATTAGTATACAAGTCTCATACTATCAAATGATCTTATTAGATTGGAAAGAAAGAAAAACCTCTCATTTGTTTTGCTATAATCATTTTAAATTTTCTGTTGATGCATAGTTATACATGTAACTTAGTGCTCTGTTCCTTCAGGAATATTTAATGTCAAGTTGAATGATCTTGCAATTGATATGACCTGTAAGAAATAGTATAGATTAGATCCATTTGTAAAACTGAAAGAGAGTTCATCAGTTTTAAAAGTGGCAAGGAATATTTGTGCTGCTGATGAGAATAAAAATGTCAGGTGGATTTGCTTCCGTATCAGGAAAGAGACCAGTGGTGGTTTACACTGTGTTTCAGTTGGGTAATGTTACCCTCAAAAATTCTGCTTGCATTGAATATCAAACTTCAATTGACGGTGAAGATCATTTAACTATAAATGAAGAAAATCCAAAGCTGACAGCATCATAAATCGCTCAGCACTTCAATACAAGAATAATAAACCACACAAACGAATTTGATAAAAAGTGTGAAAAATTGAGTAATGGGTTCCACATGACTGGTTCTCAATCAGAGTTAACGTCTTTCTTTACATGTGCTTATCAAACAATGTATGGAAAGCGGTGAATTCTTTATAATCCTATTTAGCAAAAGAAAGAAATATAATTCTGGTTTTGGTACACATTAGAAGAATTATACTTTAATTTTCAAAAGTTTATGTTGAGCTTTATTTATTTTCATTGAGTGGCAACAGGACTTTTCTCATCCTAACAGAATTATGACACAGGTAGTATTATGTTGCAAAAGAAAGTGTCTGGTTGCTTTTCTGTTGGGCCTGTACAAAAAACAAAAATTCTACCTGTAGAAGATAATGCTTAGTGTCTGTTTATTGAGAGATATTTTCATCAATTGGAAGCACAACACTAGACTTTGTTAAACAAAAAAAAAAAAATCTTAAGATTAATGAGAAAAGTGTATTACATTTGCAGCATACACCATAAAATGCATGTAGAAAATGGGAAAGGTGTATTACATTTGCAGTTTGCCTTGCAATATGCATATGAGGAATTATTTTGATTCAGAATATAGAAGTTCTATTTCACCCCTCCCATTCTCCAGACTTTGCTTCAATGGATTATCACCATTTCTGATTGTTCCAACATTTCCTGGGCAGAGGATAATATAACAATTATGAAGATGTTACAAATAACATGTTCTTGCCTCAAAACTCAAAGAATTTTATGTCCAATGCATTAATCACTTGTCTACTCCATTGGATTACCTTATTGAAAATGAAGGAAAGTATTACTCTGAAAAAGTTTGTAATTGATCATTAAATATCAGTTAATTATATGTCTCAAGAGAAAAACAACCAATCTTTCTTTTGCAACATAATAATACATGTGCAGTAATTCTATTTAGATGAGAAATGTTTTTAGTTATATATCATTTTGTTTTTCTCCATAGTCACACAGTCTTTAAGAATTAAAGATAATCAAGTTAAACAGATGACATTTTAACAAGAAATATCATCTTCTGTAAAATTTCTTAAAAAAATAAATGAAATATGTTGCTGTTTTACTGTAAAATAAAAATATATAATTTTGTATTCTTAAATTATAAGATGTGTTATGCATTTTCTAGTAATCCTTTACTAAAATTATAAGGTGTGGGCAATAGAAATAGGACAATTAAAGCTTTTATCATTACAGCTATTTGAACTTTAAAAGTACTGGGGACATAAAGAATTCTTAACAGACACTTGTGCATTATTATTTCTCTCTAAAGTATGTCTTATGGAAGTTTTACAAATTTGATAATTCAGCAAAGGTTACAAAATAATTGAAAAATAGCAATGAATTAAAAAAGAAATGTTGATTTGCATTTTGAGGGTTTTTCACAAGGAGAAAGAAGAAAAAAAAGTATTACAAGATAAAGAAAAAGAAAGAACAGAAAAAAGTCTTGAAGCTGTTCTATGTTTCCTATCTCGCTAGCCATTCACTGCTCAACAATAACTACTTTGTTAAAAAGATATTTAAACACAAGGATTGAGTAACTGAATTATAGTGATTGGGTAGGACATCCTCAATTTGGAGGGTAGCAGATTTTGTTATTACTACTTCAAGGTAAGGAAATTATGCCCCAAATTTTGAAATTAAATTATGAGAGAATAGTTTTCCCTTCCTACTCTTGTGGCATGCCAGTGATGAGAATGCAAGAAGTGGAGTAGGCATTTTTGTGAAGCAAGCACAGTCAAGATTGATGACTGCTTTCTGTATTGATAGTTCTTATATCAACTTGTACTGCCAAATGAACCAGAATTTATTTAACAAAAAGAAAAGAAAATCTCTTCAAGCTAAACTACAATAAGTCTCTTTCTAATTGATAACCATTTATATGAAAACTTAAATTTATGAAAATATTCTCAGTTGAACGATGTGGCAAATAGAGTATCATCATCATCATTGTAATAATAATAAAAAAGTAAATGCCTTAAGAAATTCAAACACCTGAATATGGTAGAAAAGAAATAAAAGGTTATTCAGTCCAGTACACAAAACTTAATCTGAACATTTCCACTTGAAAGATTAACCATGTTAATTTTGCCATATGATAAGCATTAAAGATTTTTTCTAATGACAGTTCAAGGATAGAAAACAAGCCTACCGTAATTTAAACTGAAAAATTTTTCTTAATACAATTGAAACTTCCAAATCATTATTCTTCTAAGTAGAAAATTATTCAATTGTCATTGCTATAGTCATCAACATTTTAAACAAATTTTATTCCCACTTAATCCATGTGTTATTCTATCTTGCTTTAATATAAAAAGAAAAGAGCTGTAAGTGCAGAATATGAAATTGGGTTGTCTTCTCAATTATTCAGTAAAATACTAATGTTACTTCAGTATTCAAAAGATTCTTCAGATCTCAATAAAAAGAAATAATACAGTTTAAGCTGGGCAAAAGGCAGTTAAAGTGCAAGAAAAAGCTAAGAAAGCAGAGCCCTTAGCAGAATGACAATTGACAATCTCATAACAGAATGGTCCAAGGACACCTAAACATCAAGTGAGATTCATTTATATTTGTTTTTATCCCAGAAACAAATATCTTAAGAATTTGCTTTAAATACAAATGAAATAATAAAGAAATATTTCTACATTGCTTTCATTATAATGATACAAAGAAATCTCAAATGAAAATGAAATTCTCTTATATCTGTAAGTTATTTACAGCAACTTAATATGATTATTAAACAAAATGAAGTGCTAAACTATTTTTTCCCAATATCTCAATAATTAGCAATTTCATGAAGCATTTTGTAGTAGAGGATCACAAAACTGATTCATTTCTATGAAATATAGATTTCCCTTTCATTCAACTGGAATTTTCAGCTTTTATTATTTATGTGATATCGATTAAAACAATGCTGATGATTATTTAGAACACTAATAAAATCAGTGCAGTGTAGCCAGAAACAAAAGATACAGGAATAAATGCTGTCTTTGCAAGAAAAGGTGAATATGATCAACTTTTTTTGCCACTGGCCGAATTAAATTAGGTATAAAGACAATGAGCAACTAGATAAGCAAAAAAGAATCAAAGTCTGTTTAAATAAAATTAGAAGCAACAAATGAGAATAAATCTGAAAATTCATTTACACTTTTCCTTATAGAGTTTGTATTACTTAAAAATTGATATTTTTTTTCTTTGGCAATCAGAAATGTTTACATTTTTAGTCACATAACTTTTACTTTGTACAATATTTTACAGTGAAAATAGCTGCTTTCATTATTGTTTGAACAACTAAAAGATTTCTTAAACTACAGCCTTAATGCAAAAGTAGTAATAGTAGCAAAATTTATAAAGATCTAAAACGATGTTGAAAGGTGAAAAACCAAAAATTGGTAGTTGGTACATTTTTGTTTTCTTTTACTGTAAACTCCTGCTAGTAGCCCAATTGTTAGTATCTGTGCTCAAGTATTAGAGAGAAAAGAGGAAAGCAAGTGCCTTAGATGGACCTCAAAGCTAGCATACATACATACATACATACATTAATAGATATATGAAGCAAAATAATGTTACATAAGCCCAACATTTAACAATGACATCAACATGCATAGGCTTCAGGCAACAAGGACGTGGCACACACATAAAAAAATAAATTTACAAACAAGCATTTGGTGATAATTTAAAAGACAATTTATATTTAAACAATACAATAAAAATATACAAATGGCAGATAAATAAAAAATCAAACAGATACATATAAAAAATAAAAATTACAAAATAAAACATTTAAAAAGAAAAATAATTATCAGGAAAAAATTTCTTAAAAATCTGTGTGCATGTGTGCGTGTGTATATGTTATATAAAAGATGATCAGGATATAAGAAAGTTAATCAGAAAGAATTAAAAAATTCAAACCTGAAAACCAATTAGTAGTCAGATGATAATAAGCCTATGATCCACTTTTCATCTTCAGAAAATTGATTTAGAAGAACTAAATTGATTGAATATCAAAATGGCAATCAATATACAAATTTATCAATTATTCCAACATTAGAATAAATAGGAATAAAGACACTGTTAATATAAGTTAGCTACACATAAAAAAGTGAAAATTTCTACATTATCCACACAAGACAACGATAATTAGTAGAAAAAAAAATTGAACATATTAACAAATAAGAATTTCAATCTGATAGTTTTGTAGAAAATATTCCAAAATTTTATTTAATATGTTAATATTAAATTTAAAAAAAAAAATAAACCATTATCAGGTTATTAGTAATGGAGGTAAAAAAAATTCAAAGAACTTAAAAAAGTAAATTCAAATTGATTTGAATAGATATTTTTTTTAAAAAAATCAACAAAAACATAAGTGTAACAAGGGAACTAACTAAAGGTTACTTAGCATTCAATGATATTTAAAATGTTTTTTCTTGATATGTGAAATTTGAATAATTTTATTGTAGCACCTTACTAATGTTATATTAAAAGAAATTAAAATAGGTTTCTCTTAAGAAAATAAAACAAGAATGAAATTTTAAAAACTGAACAAGAAAACTGAATTTCAGTTTAAAGTTGGTCATCTGTTTTTAACTGATTTATTGAGAAATATCTACAGAAAACTTGTTTGAATTTAATGTTCTAATTTTTAGAGTAAAAGATTGTAGAATGAAAACGAAGTAAATGAATAATCATCAAAGTGATTGTGTGTGCGTATATATATATATATGCAAAATGATTAAAATATAGTTTTAAGTTGTGCTATATTGATGGGTCCACCTAATATATATATGTGTGTGTGAGAGAGAGAGGTTTTCTGAGTAGAATTGAAAAAAAAGGAAGATTCAAATGGAATGATTACAAATTTTGCCTATGAAATTAAATGATAATAAATTATACAATTTTTTTGGTAACAATAATTAAACAAATTAAAAGGAGTTACAATACACAATAAAACCATGAGAACAACAATAACATTAAAATAACAACATCCGATTGCTGTCTGTTAATCCAGTAGAAACTGATGACATTTGACCTGATTCCAAAAAGATACTAAAACCATCAGGTGTGAAAAATTGACATTATGGCATGCTGTGATAGGTTGAGGAAAAAAAAATGGTGTTCCCCACCCCATTTTTTTTTTTAGATAAAAGAAAAGAAGCTTTTAAAATTCTGCCTGTTCACCAAGAAAACTTGCACACCATACACAGTAAAAGACAACTGCAAACAAATCAGAAATAGCTTACTAGGAAGTTGTGGTTACTGCAAATCTGTAGAATGGAAAAAAAATGGAGGAACACTTCTTTAGATATACATAGATGAAATAAAATGACAAAAATTTAAACAGGAAAAATCTGTGATAAATTTGCTGTTATGTTTATCTTCTTTAAGAGAAAGTAAGAAAATATTTTTATCTGAAAGAAACTTCATAATTTTGGTTAGAAAAGAGTGAATGGTTATATCCAACATTGCAAGAAAGGAAGAGCAAGTCTGTGGATAAATCTCTTCTTTCTCTTGCTGTTGCCTTTCATGTACCAAATTCAAGTAAACTACTTTTTCTAACAAGATCATCATCAACCATTTGAAATGTTTGCCTTACTTCTAGGTATCTGTTAATTTTATTAGATGAACACTTTCAAGTGAAAAGAAAGCAAGACCTGTAAATATTTCAGATGTAATCAAAGTCATATTGTATTTGTGAGATAATTTTTTTTTTTTATAACTCATTTGATATTAATAACCTTGATGTTTTAAACATTTTTTTCTTCTTACACAAGTTTGTAATTGCAAACCTGTAAGGTGCATGTTTTTCATTTCATTTATTAGAAAATCCATTCATGCATCAATTGTCCAATGTGGCAGTTTCATTGTTGAGAACTGAATTGAACTCTTGTGCAATATAGAGACACAGAGAGAGTGTCAGTGAACAAAAGTTGTTAAAAAAACAAGAAAAGTTACTATTGGTTGTGGGGATGACTGTGTGTGTATGTGTGTATGGGGGGGGGAGTCAATATGTACAACAGACAGCAGTAATTATCTTTTTCTAAAAATACTTCCACAAAGATCTTACAGAAGAAAATAATGCAATTAAATATCAAAAATATGCACAATAAATCATAAGTATTATAAGAATAATGTTTGAATTATCAGGTTTATAAACAATGTATGAGGTTAAGAATTATGGCAAAACAATAAGTAAAAAAAAAAAAAAAAAAAAAAAATGAAGCTTTTAATTGGAAATTATCATCAGAGGCAAGAACTAAACTTGTAAAAATTAAAGTCTTGTGTAAACAGGAGAAAAATTGCTTTCAACAAATAGACACAATATTTTCCTCTCATTTGCTGGACGTGTGTAAAGTGAATGACGTAAAAGGAGTCAATTTCAATCCTGGTGTCTACCTTTTGAAAATGTTACTCAGCAAAAATGAATATATTTCTTTCTAAAAAGCAAACAGTTGCATAATATTAAGGATGAGAACCAAACCAAAAATCATTGTAAGGAGGAAGAATTTATAAATATATTACACACTGTACTTACTTTAATAATCAGGAAGTAACAATAAAAAAGAAAAAGAAAAAAACATGGACATAACTGGACTTCTTTTTTTCTTCTTGCATTCCCACTGATAAGTACTTTTTCAGAAAAAAAAAGTAAAAACAATGTTTATCTCATAAGTTTACTAGATATGAATAATTAACTCTCTCCATGTTTTAAATAAAATGTAACTTTGCCAAGACCATGTAAAGAAGAAATTCTAAATGGATCATTGATTCATCATCAGGAATTAAATTCCAGGATTTATGACAGGCCTGAATTGCTAACATAGTTGTGAAACAAAATAAACACAGAACATGTACTATTTTCTTAATCTGTTGATAATACAAAACAAAAAAGAATCATAGAATTCATGTTAAATAGATGTTATTGTTCAAAAATTATTCTAAAAAGGAAAACAAATTGATTTCACATGAAACACAAAAAGTTTACAATTTGTTTAAATTGCTGCAATATATAATATGTGGTATTAGAGAGTAGAAGAAACACTGAGAACAACATGAGATTGAAAGTGGAGACAAATCAAATACACTTACCTTTGCTTTGTCAAGTTTATCAGCTTTGTTGCTTTTCTTCTCATGCACAGACCTGCCAGGGAAACAAGGACATAGTTTTAGGATTCGTTCATATCAATAAAAATTTTTAAAAAAGAAAAATATATGGTATATTGTTGTAATTTTGGCTAATCCTGGCCACCAATATGTTGTAACCTAGGGAAGGTTACTGAATAGAATAATCACATGAAGGTTGGTAATGAATGATAATACTTAGGACAAGAACAACACATAAAATTCGCTAGTGGCGCACAGAGGAAGTAGTCAACTGCTAGAAGTGAGTCAAGTGAATTCCACAGTGAATCTCCAACTGCAGGATATCTTACCAACTGCCCCACGTGGTCAGATGTGGCACAAGGCTGAATTTAATTTGGAGTATCTGAGCTTGTAGGCTTGGCCAAAAATTCCCTGTAGACAACGTATAAAACAGGTTCAGGTAGCTGTTTCCCAGGACGAGACTCAGCCCTTTGACAAAGCCTCATCTGGGGATCCTCTTTGCTTGGAGGCAGAGAGTTCAACCAGCACAGCTGGAGACAAATCTCCATCTGCAGACCAACATATAGTATTTACTACTGTATTTATGTGAATGGGGACAAGCCCATTATCGTCCGTAGCTATGCTACAACATATACAATTCCAGTTTTGCAAGCAGTAAACATCCAACTCTTGAAATTTACTTTAATGTTTCATGAATCTTGAAATATAAATCCAGTGAAATATAGTCAATGTGTCATAGAATTTAAGAATAAAAATGACAGAGAGAGTATTTATTTATCTACTATATGCACAACTGAATATTCATTCATCATTACAGGTAAATATCTGTAGAGGAAATTATTTAAGTTTTTTTTAAATATAGGTATAAAGTATTTTTAGAGTGATTCTTCAAAATAGTATAAATAAGGGAGATCAATTATTTTTGAGTAAAATAAATTTATTTAATATGAAAGGAGTCAAAATTGTAAACAAATATTTTACAGAAATTTTGGACAAACCACTTGTGTGAAAGTCAAAAATGAGTAATTAATTTATCTATTTATTGCCAAATATACAGGAATTGTAGCAAAAAGTCAAAAATGAGTGATTCATACAAAAGCAGAAAAATTAAAGTTTATTGAGCAAATATGTTTGCGCACATGTTAACATTATCCTATTTTACGTTAAAAGGTAAAAAAAAGACAAACAAATCCATCAGCAAGTTATAAATACATTAGGAGTTACAAACAGTACAAACATTTTTAATACTGCTAAGACAGACTTTGATTGACAGCTTCAATATCAAAAGGTAGTTTCACTGTATTATTTGAGTTTATTATAATCAATATTAATGTACCAATATCACTAAAGTATTTTCAGTTTTAAAAGTTATATCGTAAAAATGATTAATTTCAAACTCAACCAAGTTTTTTAGTTTGATTTATTGTATAATAATAAAGAAAAAGCTATTGTAACTATTTCTACTATTTAATTGTTTGGACTGTTGTCCTCATCTTTATTGTCATATTCACAACGTTTTGCCCATTTCTTTCAGTTGATATACGTTGGAATTTTGAACTGAACCCGTTATTTAGTCTTTATTGCCATATTCACAACGATTTGGCCATTGTATGCTCCAGCCTTCTTCAGGTGATATATGCTGGAATTTCAAAATGAAACCTTTATTTAGTAAAGAAAAACTATTGATTTATCTCGATTTGAAAAGCATATAAAAGTTTTAAGATAAAATGCTTGTTGATTCCGGCTTTATGCTAGAAATGGAATAAATTTGATGGTAAGTAAATATCTCTTTCTGCTCTCCTACCAGTCACAAATCACCCATTAACAGAATTTATTTCTGTTATCAATGTGCTGAGTTGGGGCTCATTTTGTGTCTTCCTTTGCTATGTTCACTGGAAGGATATTTTTAATCATCCTGTTCAGAAATGTGCCACTGAGATCTATTCCCAGGTGAATGCTGGTATTGAAGCTTTAGTTCCAACTTGGAAATACCAAATAGAACCATGATCAACTCCCTGATTCCCACTTGCCTGCTCATCCACTATGGCCCACATGAATCACTTCTTATGGTTATACCAGAGCAACAAGTTTGACTGTAGCAAACGCTTCTTTGTCACTGTTAGTAATGAGAGCAAGTATGTCCTTAAAGAAGTCAAGTCACTATTTGCTGATATAAGGAGGCACCATATAGCCTCTTACAAATTTGGATCTAGGGATTAATGCTGGTTCTGCAAGAGTGTGATGAACAATAGCAAATCCTGTGTTCCATCCTTTCTTCAATCAATTTGAAGTGTTGACATCTACTTCAGATAAGGTAGAGTGCTTTGCTCAGAAGTTCTCTTCCAGCTCCACACTCGATTCATCTGGACTACCTCTGTTGGATTTTCCCCCTAGAATGGAGGCTATACTGAGTGACATATGCATAACCCAGTTACTGGTTTCTGGCATCATCTCTAAATTAGACCCCTAAAAAAGCAAGTAGATGTGGCAGAATCTGTGCTGTTGTCCTAAAGAAATGTGCTCCTGAGCTGGCTCATGTTCTCTCCAGACTTTACAACAAATGCTTCACTGCTTCCTAGCTTGCTGGAGGTCATACTCTGTAGTTGCTGTTTTTAAGAACTCTGGTGGACACTCAAATTATCGTTCTATCAGTCTTACTTACTTTGGCAAAATATTCAAGGTTTAAATCAATGCTCAACTAGATAAACATCTTGCTTCATACAACGTCCTTTCAGATAAACAATATGACTTCCATTTTGCCAGGTCTATTGCCGATGTGTTAATGGCCATCTGAATTTATCTATCAAGCTTTAGTTAAGAATGGTGACGTTCGGGCTGTGGCACTACATATCGTGAAAGTGTTCGACAGGTTTTAGCATGCTGGCCTTATACGTAAGCTTGAGGGTTATGGGAGTAATGGGACGTATATTTGCTAAAACTAATCATTCCTAACCAATCGAGTAATGAAGGTTGTATTAAATGAGCATGCATCCAGATCAGTGGCCTCTATCCTTGGATGTATGCTGTTCTGATCTTCATCAATAATCTCCCTGATGTCATCAGTACCCACCTAGGTATTTATGCACTACCATTTGTGTCTGCCTTAGAAGCAAAACCAACAAATCCGACACAGTAAGCCTGGCAACTACTCTTGAAAGGACTTCCAATCAGTGGTTAACTGGGGCAAGAAATGGCTCGTAAATTTCAATGCCATCAAAATAAAACTGCTTTCATTTAATCACCACAAAGAACCTTTTCTGCCCATCATCAGGATGGCTGATGATGAACTCTAGGAGAGCAGCACTCTACACCTTCTTCACCTCACGTTTTCCACTGACATGAAGTGGAGTGATTATATCAAGACAATAGCTACGTTGACTGCAAGGAAGAGGTGGGTTTACTGTGTTGTGCCAAAAAAATTTTTCTCATCAGAATTCATCTTGCACATTTATAAATTTTTTAATTCAGTGTAGAAAATTTTTTCTGTAGAAGAGTTAACTTTTGCATAGTTTATTAAATTTTTTATAACAGCTATTTTCTAATAGTCAGGGCATTCACTTTTATAGTTTAGAGTGCACATGTTTATGCTAGTTGTTGTTTGTTTTTATATGGGGAGGTAGCAAATGTATTATTATTAGTGTCTATTGATACATCATTATTAAGTTCATATGCAAAGTTATGAATGAAGTTATTTTTAATGTTTTCTGATAGTTCATGTATTTCATCAATGTTTTAACTAAGACAAGAATATCATCTACAGATCTTAGGTCGATGGAAGGGATTTTTACTGGTGTTAAATTTTCAAGGTTAGTGATGTAGAAGTTGGTCCTAGAATGGAACCCCAGTGGTACAAGTCAAAAGTAGTTTTCATAATATATTATGTGTGATTTTTAGTGGAGGGAGAGATGGATTATTGTAAATATTATTTATAATTATATAAATCATTTCTCTAACTGGGACATTGGCGAATAAACTTCCAACATCAAGAGAAATATGGTTTTATTATTAGGTTTTTGTGTTTTTAAGATTTGGATTAGTTTGTGAGTTGATTTAATATTGTATTTACTTGGCATGTATGGTGTAATGTGTTGGTTGATGATTTTGGTTAATTGGTAAATTGTAGTGTGGAGATTTGGGATATGATGGAACTGAGAGGGAAGTTAGGCTTGTGTATTTTTACAGTTCCATACATATATCATGGTTTGTAGTCACTGATTATTTGGGAGAATTTTAATTTTTATTGTTCTGTGTTGTTGCCTATGATCAGTTTATTAATTTTTAATTTCAGTTGGTTAGTAGAATTTTTGTTGACTTTTAAAAAATTTTGTATGATCTTTGAGTATTTTCTGTAATTTTGAATTATAATCAAATTAATACAACAAAGATATTGGTTTTATGCATTTTTTGGGTACATAATTCCTTGGCAGCAATTTTAAATTGTTTTGGTAAGCACTTGAAAGAATTTTTTCCCTTTGTCATGTCTGTCCTATATATATATATATATATATATATATATATATGAATAAAGATGTTCCTTTAAAACATGCATTCAATGAGGAACAAGATTTTCAAGATCTGCTGAAGCTAATAAGTTAGAATAAAGACAAGACAGATTAGATGGGAAAGAATAAAGTCAGCGTTTAAATGTTGTCATAATGAAAGGTGTTTTCCAGTATATATTCATAAGGTTATCTGTATTTTTAAAATTTTTGGAAACCTTAAATAATGAGAAACTAACAAGAGATTAAGTGTTAAAATGATATGCTTAAACATTCACCAAGGAAAATAATCATGTTTTATGATTGTGCACAAAAATATTTCAGAAATTAAAGAGGAAGTGAAAAGAACATGTTCAGACTGAAGCAAAAAAGATGCATTGTGTTGCTAACATGAATGTCATTCATTCTAGTTATTTGGCATTTGCCTTACACAACACAGAAACTTTTTTTTTTGATTCTTTTAAATAAGTATACAAGAAGAAAGTCTTTCTCAATTTATACCAACATTCAAACATTGACACGCATGCACACAAACATGAAGAGAAAAAAAACAAAACCTTCTCACCTTTCAAAATCATCATTATCTTGTTTTTCTGAGCGTTCATGTCTTTCTAACCGTTCAAGACGATCTTGTTTGTCAGAACGGTCAAACTTGTCCTGCCTATCCATACGGTCATATTTATCCTGTTTCTCTGGACGGTCAAATTTGTCTGTTCGATCATGCTTGCTCTGTTTGTCATGCCTCGTTTTTTTATCTTCACGACAATTGTTGCTGTTGTTATTGTTAACACTTTGGTAACATTTACTTCTATCTTCTCGACTAGGTGAAGGAAAGAAAAATATATCAGGATGTAGAAGAGAACTAATCAAGAAAGCAGAATCAGCTAGCAAGAGGAAAAGCTCAAAAATAGATGTCATCCAAAATTAAAAAGATTTTTTCAAACAGTTTTTAGTTGCTTATTTTCTTTTAGACACAAGAGATTATAATATAGTTTTTCATGTTTTTTATTTTTTAATACCATATGGAAAAAATGCTATTCTTTTTTTTTTTTGATAATTATCAATTATTCTAATTCCATTGAATGACATTTTGTTTCATAGAGTATTCTTTCATTTTTTTTATACAAAATTCACCAAAGAAATTGTTATGCTAAATGTTTTACAATAAATTTGAAGACAGTATTTTCTGGTAAAATGATGTTGAAATGACTAATTATTGAATATGAAAATTAAGTTATTAAGCAAAAACAAAAAAAATTATTTTTTATCAATAAAATCCTGACAGAACAGTAACTGAACAGTTTGATTATTATTTTTTAGAGAATATAATGAAAGTTAATAAACCAATAAAAAATAAATTTCTACAAATGATGAAAAACTGTTTAGTTAAACCTAAGCAACAAAGGCCTAGTTCCTTCCTATAGTTGCAATTAGTTTTGCATTTTTAATTACAAACATACTCAAAAACTAAATCAGTAAGATTCAAAAACAAAAGGATGTCATGGAAAGGTCAGATTAAGAATCTTTAGTTAAACATAAGAATCCATGGTTTATAGATAGAATTCATACATTTAATAAGTGCATTAAAAATAAGAAAAATGCACACACATTAATTATATTTTTAAACAAATCCTCCTGTGATCAAATATCACAGTCATATATCTACAAACCAAACAGATGAAGTATATAAAAACAAAGGAAAATTTATTAGACTTTGTCTATAATTTCAAGATTCATTATCATTCCAAAAGTTATTCAGACAACTGAACACATTCTTTGTGAGACTTTTGTTTTTACTATTTGTAAACATTAGTAAGTTGTATTTAATGGAGAAAAGTCTAAACAGTAGGACAAACTGAAAAACATATTTTAATGATTTGTAGCAAATTTGGTGTTAGATTGGGATTCAATTTTCTACAAGGGATAAAAATCCCAACTGTAACATGATGTCAGTAGTGTTATGCTAATCTCGAAACTATGCTACAGAATGAAGAGAAAACAAAATGGGAGATGACATATATTAATCAAGAACATGTATTGTCCTAAAATAAATAAACAGCAATTCTTACTGAATGTCTAAATGTTTGTAAATGCAGCAAAATACTTCTAATGTGGTGCCAACCATAACAAGAGTGAAGAATGAAACTTCTCAGTTACCAGAGGAAAAAAAAAAAAGAAAAAATGACCAAAAATATTTTCTGGTAAAGTTTCAATTTGTTTTTTTCCCCTTTTAATAAGAGTAAATTATTTTGTTAGTAATGTGGGTTGTCATGTATTGTTAGCATTGACCAATATACTTGCTTGGATCCAGTAGTTGAATACTGTCCAGGTAGCCTAAGTGTACTTTCATATACTAACTCTGCTATAGTACAATCTAAGCTTTTGGGGGGTCGATAAGCTATTGTGTATACTTGTCAGCAACCAAAGAGACTGGTCACTGAAACAAAAAGTTCTGCTTCAAATTGTTAGTCTCTTTTGAAGCCTGGTGATCACTTGATTTCATGCTTGATAGAACTATTCTGGTGTGTAATTTTTAAGAATTCAGCTAAGAGATTTCTGTATATCAAACAGATCAACACATAATTGACCATGGAAAACCAAGTTGTGTCATCAATTTGTTTCTGTTCATGAAAGTTGACTGTTAGGACAAAATGCTGAAGGAAACGAGTGCCTATGATGAGTTGGGAAACATCAGCAATAATGCACAAACACTGAAACTTATAATGGAAGCCAAGGTTCAAAGGTTAATGATAACATTTCACAAAGTAAATCTTTTCAATGAACAGGAGATGGGCAATGGGAGAAAGAAAAGATTACCTGTCAAAAATAAAAGAAATAAAATAAAAAAAAAAAAATCAATTGAAGGAGGGGCTCCATTATTATTTTCTAATTCATGTGCTTCCGCTCTTTATCCATAACCATTTTACTGTTTTCTCAGTAGTCTCTGATACATTTTGGCTTACTTTATTTTTCTTATTTCCTGTCAGACTGAAACTTGCCAGGGCTTTGATTAAGAATCTTGCAGTGAATCCTCTACACCCTACTTCCATTGGTGTGCAGCTTATTTTCCAGCCATTCTTTCTGCAATCTTCCACTGACTCTTGGTATTTGAGTTAAATTAGTTGCAATAGGTGTTATTGTTGAGAGGGCCAATTTATCATGTGCCATAGAAGGTAGATTAGTCAGTGTGGTCCTGTCTGTTGATCTCTAATATACTGCATCCTGGTACAGTAGTCAGCTTGTTAGCATTGTCATTTGCATTTAGTGTTTTGAGGTGTGAGGATTGTTTGTAGTGTAAGAATAGGGAAAAGCACAATGTTCGGCACACCTCCAGTGATACCAACATGTAACAGCTGCAGATTTAAAAGCTTTTTAAACAATTTTTACTTTCTGTAGCCAAAGATTATCCCAGATGTGTCCATGCTCATATTTAACTTGGCAAAACAGGTCTCACATTTGTATTAATAGAGAGCACTAATATCTGAACAATATCCTCCTTCATTAGTATAGTCCTATGAAGAATGTTCACACAGAAGTACAGGGTAGTAATATGTTCTAGTATCTTTGTTTGGTTAGACATTCATTAGTCATCTCTCCATAAAAGTGCATACCAAAATGAGGTGTATGTTTGTTGGGAGTGATTTGTTTAAAAATATTATCTTCAAATGTACTTTCTCCCAATAGCTGCCTCATCCTGTATAGCAATCAAGATGATTTTCAATCAACCAACAACTGTGAAATTAGTGACCAAGTCAAATTTCACTCTACAGCTTTTCTTAATTCAGTGTAGAAATTATAAGAAAGAATAGAAATTAACGAGCCTACCTTCTTACATAGGGCCAAGTAAGAAACAGAAAAACAAAGTAGAACTTTACAAGAAAATACTTTTGCTCAGTTTTTCTGTAGAAACTGAAGAACTTCTTCCTTTACTTCCCTGCCATAGTAATTGCTATCATACGTATCATGTGACGTTGGAGATACTACTTAATACTGTGAACATACACAGAAGTGTGGGAAGAACCATTTATTCACTCTATTTTTGGGGGTTGGTGTTGCTGGTGGACGTGCTGGTGTTCGTGTGTATTTGATTGCTATATGATATCTCCTCTATTTTGTTCTTTACGTATTTTGTGGCAGCACTGTTGTAACATTAAAAGATTGTTGCTGTTAGGATTTCTGTCTCTAGTAGAAAATGGTCCAAACCTAAATTTGTGCAGATCATTTAAAATATTTTAAGATTTAACCTTTTTTATGATTTAAGAAGTGTGAACAAAGATTTTTGGAGAAAAATTTTCTAATAGTAGAACAATAATAATGTTTATGCAGAAATTATAAATGAATTATTATTAAGTCTTATAATTTAAATAAATTTACGGATGCTCAAGCAATTTGTATTCTCTGATTTACATTCAAATCTATATTGTCTGCTAACATTGTTTTAATCTCATCAGAGGCACTCCACAAAAGGAAATAGAACTATTTAAAATAAAAAAAAAAAAAAAAAAACATAAATGATTAACTTACTTGTACTTGCCAGCCAAATGTTTTTGCCGATCAGGCTTGTCATCTCTGTTTTTTTTGTCACCAGATCGATCATCTTTATTAGATTTGAATTTTTCTGACTTATCGCAAGCACGATCATCTTTGGAGTATTTTGAACGGTCAGCAAACCTCCCTTCACGTCCAGGTTTTAGCCTCTCCTGTCCTTGTCGATCGAGTTTGTTAAATTTCTCACGGTTCTCTTTTGAGAAACGTAGCTTTTCCCGTTCTTTAATTGGCTTTTCTGGTTCATCTTTTATTCGTCCCAAATCACACTCCTCTTTCTGCTTCTCCTGTTCTCGCTCAGGGTTTTTCAAAAGCTATTAATATGAAAATAAGCAAAGAGTTAAAGCCAAAAAAGAGGTAACAACAAAACAAAATAAACTTCTTACTGTTATTCAATGTGCTTAGTAATCAAAAGAAAATGAATGTAGAAAACATGTAAGCATTACTTCTAAAGTAATTTTAGTAAATATTTTCTATTTTAAGCACACCAATGGAATCGACTATATGAATGAATAGAAAGAATGCTTCAAAGATTGAGCTAGCCAACTGGCGAATGTGAAAAATATCAACCATATATGATGTAGGTAATAAAAAAAGGCAAAGGTAATTTTACAGAATTTTTTTAAAGAGAAAAATGACATCAAGTAATAAGATAATGACAATGAAAAGGTTAAGCTAAAATAATTAGTTTCAAACCATTAACCCTTTTCTGCTTTGGTTGATTCTTATTTATAAACAGAAGGCAAAGAAAAGTTTTGGCAGACAAAATTGATTTGAAATATTCTGGGCTTAATAACAAAATGATGACGTTGAAAAAAATCTGAAGAGATAATGAAAGATAAAAAAATGTTTATATTACAGAATGGATGAACATAACAAGAGTAATTTTCAATTCAGTTATAGAAATCAACTTTTGAAAAAGACATCGCATAAATGCTATGTTGACAAAGATCATTTAGTGGTTTAAATAAGAAGGCATTTATGAGTGGATTTAATATTGTAATAAAGAATCAGACTATGTTATGTGTTAAAAATAGAAAATTAAATTAACAAATAAAAAGCTATAAGAACAACATAAAGACAAGAAACAAGCAAGAACTGTGCAAATTAACAAGGAAAATTACAAAAAAAAAAAAAAAAATGCACTAAGAACTAGAGAAAGAAAAACTAGTTATTGAATGATAATAAAAAAATATAAATATAGCTAATTTAGAGATGATACCAATTTTTGCATCCAGGATAAAATGTTGAAACCTTTACTAGAAAATTTGAGTTTGAATTGAATTTCTTTACCATTATGATATGCAAAAAAAGAAACAATATTAAATTAACAGTATTTACTGCTGACTAATACCTTAGGATGCATGGTAAAATAATGGATTGCAGTTTGGATTAAGGAATCAGAGAGCCAAGTTTGAATTCCAATCAGATTAATTGCATTCACTTCCCCACACCAGCTATGGGTAAATAGTAGGACAGACTGGGTTCTGTAGCCTTGGGTGGCTACAGGTCAAGAAAGAGGAAAACTCTGAATTCAAAACTGTATGTAGCCCTGGTGAATTACATACTATGCAGCTATGGAAAGGATCATTCGCACTAACTCAATGGTCCCGACTATGGTCGACTCCTAATATACTGAAAACATAATCTAAGAGAAGAAAAAAGGGAAAGGAGGAAAAGTACAATAAAAACATTGAAAGTCATTAAGAAAAAAAACAGATGAATGAAAGCAGAGAAAAAGCACTACAGTCAAAGATTTAAAGTAAGTGTTAACTTAAAAGAAAAAAAGGACAAAACATTTGGAAATATTTTTCTATTAAAGCAAATTAATTACAAGCTCTTACTCTCTAAACTACCAAAGTGGTGACCTTGTTAGAACAGCTACAAATTCCTTTACAATTGCTCAATGAAAAGATAATACATGATAATCATAAAAAGAGAAAGGGATTAGCATTTTATTCTTACTTTTTGTCCCAATATTAACTTTTCCATACTAAATAAAGATCAACATTTAGAAAAAAAGAACATTTTTACAGCCTTTCTCTTGAGATTTTTTAACACAATATACTGGTGGAGTAATATAAAAGATTTTTGAAAATCTCAGTTGAATTAAATATTTTTCCTTCAAGAAAGCTCATATCATGAAATATGCTATCAAAATGTTGACAAAGCTTTTAGGAACTTAATTCTCCAAAAGTATCTATCATGTCAATTTGTTCTATAAAATACTGATACAAGTCAAAAAGTAGGCCTGCTAAACATTATTTCTGCAATTATTCAACTTCTACTTTTTAATAAAAGTTAAATTTAAATTTTGATACAGAATATTTTTAAGGAGACGGGGGATAAAATTGGTTTGTTTTTGGTTTTACAGCATATCAACCTAATTGGCCTAATCCGATTCGCCCTAACCCTGCCAAGGCTACACAGTATAGTTGTGATGAGAGTGGATATGAGCACCTTCACTCCCCCCACCATATCTACCCAAATATACTATGTTGTAAGGTTACGTGGCACTGTCGGACCCATTATCTATCATCCCAATTAGCCCTTGCCACAATGTGACTAGCTGAATGGAATGGATTGCCTGTCTATCCCAGGTAGGGACCGAAGTGACGTGTTGTGGAAACTCCTGGTCATTTTATATCAGATCAGGAGTCACTCAGTCACCAGGATTCCATCCCCAGGCATCACGGGTTGCCAACCCCAGGTGGCTTCATTTAGGGGAAATTTTAATTTTTTGAAATCGGGTTTTGTGAATGTGCACTTTATATACTGCAATTTGTGTTGATGGTATTATTATTACAAAAAACCCATTCTTACACCTTCCTAGTATTCCTACTCCAGATCAAAGGAAGTGGGGAAACTATTTAGCCATAGCTGGGACCCTAATGGGTGCTACCACCCCGGGTCAGGGTGGACCCAGGAACAACAGCAACTAAGAGGCGGTTCCACACTTCTCAAAACCTCCTGATCAGAGGCCTTGCTGCTGGATGCAGTTTACTGTCATACCCAGGACACAAGAATAAAACTGTAGCAACAAACCAAGAATATATAATAATATAAAAAAAAAGATCTGATTTAACTTTTTCTACACTGAAAAAAAAAAAACTAAATACTGACATTAAAAACTCTTAATAAACATTTGACATGCAGGAAAATATATTTTGCACTAGTCTACAACTAACTTACTAATATGACGATTTGACGCTAATATGATAATACTTTTAGAAAACACAATTAACATTTTACAGTTTTAAACTAGATGGTCACTGATTATCAGTGACCCGAGTTTTACAGACATGCATAAATAAGAAATAGGATTTTTGTATAGAATGTAGAATCATTTAAAAGAATAATCAAGCAAAACAAAATATCAACTTATCAACTTTAGAACAAAAGTATTAAGAAGAATGGATACAATGAAATTGGAATGAAAATAAAAAAGAAAATCCTTATTACAAGCAAAGTTAAAAGTAAGACAAAAGAGAAAAGAACCTGTGATGAGATATAGGAACAAATTCTAATAACCTATATTAAAAGGCAATACATTTAATTCCAAATAACAAGAAGAAAATATTTTACGAAATCATTTCCAGTGAAATGCATGGTTAATACTAGCTGGAATGAGAATGCCATTTTAAGTTACCTTTTCATGAAAATGATAACTGATCTGAAAATTCCTATTTTTCCTTGAAAGACATTTGCCAGTTTATAACAGAAACTCTTCTGAATGGCTACACAGTGTTAACTTCAAGAAGCATTTTCATTATACAGATTATAACTTACAAGACTGACATTCAATCATAGTTCAAGTATAACTTTGAATTTAACAATAAAAATCAAACCATTTCTATTGGAATTTCTCAGATGAGGAGTTGTTATTATTATTATTAAGTTTGGACTATTGACCTCATCTATGTTGTTATTCCAATGTTTTGTCCGGCATGGCCTCTGGCCTTCAGGTGCTTGTTGACATGGTTAGCCTTCAATTCCGCCATCTCATACTGCTGTCTACATTAAGGATAGCTTGTCTTGTTCTTATTTAGAACTGCTAATTTAAAATACTTTTTACATATTGAATATTCAGACAAGTTTTAATCTTAAACGATGAAAAGTAACCTCTTCCCACAGCTGTAAACATATTTAGACAAAATATCCGACAGTATTGAAATGGCTTTCTCTCGCTCCATTCATTTGCAATCATCTTTGTACTTGATGATTTTAATGCTAATCATGTTACGTGGCTTAATTATTCTAATATTATTGATGTTGCTGGTATTCAGACTTTCAATGTTTTCTGTTGCTCAATATCTCAGTCAAATAGAGTATTTCCCTCCTTGTTTCCATAATAATTCTGATCAACATTTGTCTTTTCTACTGGCTCTTGTCAAGCATTGAAACCCTTCTTACTGAGAACTGTTCTACTGAGATTTAGTCTTGAGTAAAAGCTGGTATCAATGCTTTTTTTTTGTCTTCTTGAAAATAGCAGGTGAAACCTCAATCTTCTTCTTGGTTCACACCTGTATGTTCAGCCACTATAGCCCACAGAAATCACTTTTTCCTGCTATAGTAACATGATATTTCTGATCACAACAGCAACTTCTTTGTGCCCATAATTGTAAATGTGCCCTCAAAGTGCTTAATTATTTGTTTGCTGACATAATAAGGCCCATATAGTATCTAATAAGTTTGGTTCTCATGACTATCTAGTGGCTTTGTAACAGCGGTTAATTTAGACCAAGTCTTTTATTCTTCCACTCTTCACTATGAGGTATTATCTTCTGTCGATAAAGTAGAATGTTTTACTCTTTAAATTCTACTCTTAGACTAATGTCGACTATCTTTACCTAACTTTCTACTTTGAACTCAATCTCTGTGAGATATGCATCTAATTCCATCCATGCTTTCTGCTATCATCTCTTTACTAGATGCCCACAACGCATGTAGATTTGATGGTATCCCTGCAATAGTCCTTAAATGTGATCTTAAACTGGCTCCTGTTCTTTCTAAGCCCTATAATAAATGCTTTGTTGCTTCCTTCTTTCTTGCTTGTTGAGAATCCTCTTTTCAGTCTTTAAGAACTCCATCAAACCAATTCAGTTTACCACTTTTGGGCAAAATACTAGAGGCTCTAATCAACTCCAAATTGGTTAAGCATTTCACTTTTCAGGGTCTTCTTTCAGGCAAGAAATATGGCTTTTGCTCCTCTAAGTCAATTGGTGATATGTTAACAGTTATTGCTGAAAGTGTCTATCAAGATTTTGATAAGAAAGGTTAAGCTCAGTCTGTTGCTTTGTATATCTCTAAGGCATTTGACAGAGTTTGGCATGCAGGTCTTTTCTATATGTTGAAAGGTTATGGTATTTCTGGACAAATTTTTGATTTGATTCAATCTTTCTTATTAAATTATGAAATGAAAAGTGTCTTGAATGGCCACTCTTCTTCTAGCCCTTTTTAAGGGCTCTATCATTACATCTTTTTTGTTCCTAATTTTTATCAATGACCATTTTGATGTCATCAGTTTTAAACTTGGTATCTATGCTAATGATACAATTATTTACTGCTGCTTTAATGGTAAATCTGATTGATTTGATAAGTCAAATTGTTAGCAGATCTAAAAAAAAAAAAAAAAATGACCTACAGTTGTTTAGTTCAATGAATAAAGGATTTTGTTTGAAAATAGAGATGTTTATTTTGTTATTTATCAATAACACAAAGAATATTTGATTAATAAATGAGACATTTTAATGTTTATAATGAAATAACCATGCATTCTAATGTGTCAATATTGGAGAAATATTTAAAGGAATTACTTTCATTCTTTATGAGTAAGCTATGAATATTATTTTTGGCTTTTTCAAATTCAGGTTAAATGTTTGTTAAAGCCGCAATTTTGAAAAAGAGAAAAATAATGCAAAAGAAACTAGATTCATCAATGGATATGGCAAAATAATATGGAGGAAAGAGGATATTTTTTAAAATTTTTACATTTGAAAATAATAGACATATGAAGACACTTTGGACCAATATGCATTGCAACATTTTTGGCAATGATACTCAAATGTTATGCTAACTAGAAAAAAAAAATACACTGATCTTTCCTTGTGTTTGATATGTTAAATTGTTTCCAAAGAAATGTACAGTGAGATTATAATAGGCCAGATTTAATTATATTAATTTTTATTTTTAAAATTTAGTCATCACAATGGGGATTTAAGAAGAAAAAAACATCCCACAGATGATAAGTAGTGTTATTATTGTAATACATGTATGGGTGGATGTTGAAAAATTCTTGGTCCAATCTAAACTTACCAAAATTAGTATTTTAATGTATATTCAATAAAATTTAGGGAAGTGGGTTGAGAATTTTTCAGCAACCACTTGTATTATACAAGAGAAACTTTTGGAAACGGAGGTAAGTAAGGTGTGAACGCTCTAAAGCTTTAACTAGTATTTGACTTCCTTAAGTGCAAACTTTTTCGTAACTTATCAGCTTGGAAAGAAAAAATAAATAAAAACAAAATAATAATAATAATAAAAAAATCATTTACTAAAAATATAGTTGATATCTTTGGTTTAACCAAAGACAATTATAGTAATACTGCCTTCTTTCAGATAAAAAATGTAGCTTACATTTCTCTAGGTCAACTACCAATGTGCTATTGGTAAATTACTGAATTTGTATATCAAGCTTAGATAAGAATGGCAAGGCTTGGGTTATAGCTTTAGATATCCCAAAGGCGTTTGACAGGGTTTGGTATGCAGGCCTTCTTCACAACTTCGAGGGCTATGGTGTCTCTAGCCAAATATTTGATTTAATCCAATCATTCTTAAATTGTGTAATGAAATTAGTGTTCTAGATGCTTTCACATTAATACAGGAGTCCTTTAGTGTTCTATCCTTGGACCTTGTTGTTGTTTCTTGTCTTCATTGATGACCTTTCCAATGTCATCAGTTCCAAATTTGGTATTTATGCTAATGACACAACTGTTTAGTCTGGTCTTACTAGTAAGTTGTATATGTTCAACAAAGTAAAACTGGCAGCTGTTCTAAAAAAAAAAAAAAAAAAAAAAGATCGTAATCAGTCATTAACAAGGGCAAGAAAAGTGCTTCTAAATCCTAATGCCCTCCAAAAAGAAACTGCTCTCTTTTAATCATCATAGAAAACCATTTTTGCCTTCCATCAACATGGCTGATGCTAACTTCCATGAAGGCAACTCATTGCACCATCTTGGTTTTATGTTTTCCACTGACATGAAATGGAGTGATTACATTGAATCAATTGCTAAGTCTGTTGATAGTAAAGTTGGTTCACTGTGTCATGATATTCTCACCAGAATCCATCTTACACATTGATAAATCTACCATTTGTCTGTGCATTGAATATTGCTTCCATATATGGTCTGGTGCTCCTGCTATATATCTCAGGATTCTCGACAAAATCCGAAGAAGGGTCAGTAATGTTAGCAGTCCTGATCTGACATCTTGACTTCAGTCACTTTAGCAAAATCATGGTATGGCTTCCCTCTGTCTTTTCTATATTTTCAATGCAATTTGTTCTAATGCGTTCTCCTTCTCAGTACCCTAACCAAATAAATTTAAGCGTACTACTAGATTGACAATTAGGTCTCATCCTTTTACTGTTGAAATAGCTAAGTGTAACCACAAGTTGTAATAAGTTTTTCTCGCACTTCTACCTGTGGAACTTTCTTCCAGTTTCTTGCATATCCGCTACCTATGACCTTCAGAAATTTAAATTCAACATCAATTGCCATCTTCTGTCTTTCTGAATTCTGTTCTTTTATTTTCCTTTCTCCTCACTAAAGTTTTTTTTTTATTTTCTTTCACTCTCAGTAACTCTTGACATCTTAGTGGAAAAAGAAATTAGTTTCTAATCTTTATTTCTTTCATAGTCAAATTTTTCACTCACTTTAACCTATTTGCTGTCAAAGTAATACCAAATAATAATACTTCTAATCATTTCTTTTGATAAAACAAACATATTTAAGATAATAAAAAAGATAATGATATTGTTTCAAATGTTGACTGAAGCAAAAGAAAGGTAGCATTTTTCAAGCTGAAAAGTCTTTCAGTTAAGTTAGTAGAAATCAGTCAAAACTTCTTCTTTCTACCCAGTCCCAAATATTTGTTCAGATCTGTTAAATACAAGTATGCAATAACACTGAATCTTTGCAAAGAAATTTAAAACTCCAATAAACATTCACTGATAAAACTTTGATCTACACAGACACGCTGGAACAAACTAATTGTGCAAGACAGTTTCAAAATAAAGCACATTAGATTACAGAGCTCTTGCTTGCATGCACTTTGTGCTCTATGACAAAAAAAGAAAAAGAAAACAAACTAAAACCTCGTCTCCATTCACAGCATGCGGCCTAAGCTAAGAATAACAATATAGACTATAGTAGTAGATTGTGAAAACAGCTGAAGCAATAGGCTTTTTAAAAGGATATGAAGAGGAGCAACATTACTTGAAACATTGCAATGCAAGGAAAGCTGACTGAAAGACTTTGGACACATTTAAATTAGGATTCTTCTAATTTCAGTTCTTCTTGTCAACTGAATGTAGAGAGAGTCAAAAAGAAAAGAATGAAAATAATCTACACAGATGTTGTGATTTCACTACATCTCTCAAGACACACACTAAAAGACTGTTTTTGAGACGGTTTACTCTTGAATGGAATAGTATACCTGAATTTCCTTGTGAGCAGAAGCGCCAGTGTGTCTACTCTGAAAATGTCCATAAAGAGTCCTTTTCTGCACACTGTGATATCCCAATTTGTGAGGTCTATTTATCTGGAACTGAGAAAAATGTCCCGATTTCCAAGATGTCCATGCAGAGGGAAGTGAACATGAGAGTGTTGTATGTGTGTGTGTGTCCCTCTTTTGAAAATGGGCTGGAGAGAGGACAAAGGACCCACCCAACAAGTCAAATAAACAGAAAGAAAAAGCGAATCAAATTTAGTGTAAAGTAGAAAATGATTGCACAGGAAAGAGAAGGAGACAATCTGATATTAAAGTTCTGAATAATCATGACACTGATCTAATATAAGTTCATCTGAAGAATATTAGCTAATAATAAAAATAGGGAAAATAAACTTCATTTGTAACCATAACTGTTCAAGGCGGATGATAAGAAATGTAGTGTGGACATATTTTTTACTACTATTCAATCTCAGTTATGTTGTCTTGTAGCAGCACCAATAGAAAAGAACTAACAATGAAAGTGTTTTTTATGACAGTTTTGAAAAGTCATTCAGTAGGAAGAGGATAACAAGGAAAGCAACAATTACATGTTGTTTCCTAAACAGAAAAGAAAAGCTGATATAATCAAACAATAATCCTCATCCTTATAAATTTTGATAACAACAATAGTGACAAGAAAATACTAATTGGTAAAGATTTCTTTACCACTAATGGTTTATATTACGTTCAATTTGACACTAATATACCTGTCAACATTCGAGGAGTAATTTTATATATTATGTTTTTATTTTGTAAATTTTTTGTATGACGCCATAATGTTTGACAGTGACATGCTCTTGCAGATTTAGTTCTTTGTAAAGTTACTTAACCTGATGGTGCCAGAAACTAAAATGGAAGAGTCTAAGTCACTGTTTAGAGAGCTGCTATAAGATGAAGTAAACTCATAACTGAAAGTATATTCTGTGTTACTACCAGTTAATAACAGACTGATAAGTGAAAGAGTTTACTTAGGTATTAGCATAATAAACAAATGAAAGGTTTTGAGAGCTAATGAAATTCTTTTGAAGAAATCAATGAAAGCTTCTTTTTAGTTTTAAAGACAACTTTGGAACTGCATGCTGATTTAATCAGATGTCTGAATCTCAAAAAAGAGTAATTATTTGGCATTTAATGAACAACTAAACATCATTTAAAATCAAAATTGTGAAAATAAAATCTCTTCATAAAAGGCAATATTAATAAACTTTAAAAAAATTAACTACTATTTCAATTCTCAACTAACCTGAGAGGACCAACTGCTCAACAAATGGAATATTTATTCCAAACGAGATTAGAGCTCTTATAATAATGGCCTTGGATCAAAGTTGGCTAAATCCAACAAGATATCTAGAGCTCAGGATATCCAATGGATTTTCATTAATTTTGAATTTGGAAAAATCTTATTTTTTAGAAACAAAACCAAGATACGGATTTTAAATTTGTCTAGGGATTCATTGCTGTATTGTTCTGTTGGAATGTCAAATAAACAGAGAGAGAGAAAGGAGGAGATAGAGCAGCTGACCCAAACAATCAGTAGCAAAGAGAAATAGATGTGAAAAGTATAAAGGTTACTTGGAAATGGTAGAGATTAAAAGAGGGAGGGAGGGAGGCAATGGAGAAATTGGAGGTAGGATGGTGTAAAAAGTTCTTCTCACCTTGATTGGTTGGTCATCTTTTTTAGGTAGCAACTCTTTTTCTTTCTGCTTTTTCTCTTCACGTTTCTCCTTTTCTTTTTCCTTTCGTCTTCGTTTTTCTTCCTCTCGAGCCTTTTTGCGTTCATGCTCTCGCTTTTTCCTGTCCTCTCGTTGTCTCTAGACAAGCAACAGAGAATAAGAATAATAATAGGAGACACAGAAATAAATGATTGAAACAATAAATGCAGATGTTTGCAGAAACAGAAGTAGTTCTTAAATACCAATTCACACTTAAATAAACTGGGTATTTTGTTTTTTAAAGAAGTGCAATCAAAAAAATATTTCTTAATGTCCCTTCCAACACAACTAAGCAACAATATTCCTCAACAATGACAGCAAATTTAACTTGGTTGATTCTGATGGCAAACAGCATGTCAAAACACATGAAGGCAAAAGATTGCTAACCAAATGTTTTTAAGGAATTAAATTCAGTGGGTGATAGCATATTGTGATAGGTGACATCCTCTGGTGCTGGTGTCGTCCTCTGACCAAATGAGTGGGACAAAATAAATTGTTGCAGGATTTAAGAATATTATTAAACATTTTCCTGTTCCTGGATCCAACTTCATGTAAAATAATTGTCATACTATAAAAATGGTGAAAATATCAAGGTTATAACATGGCCTTCCCAATGTCCAGATAACAATCAAAATGAGAATCTTTTGGAACATCATTGGTGATAATGTTAAGACAAGGAAACAGATGAAAGGGATTTTTTTATGGCAAAAACTGCAGGAAGAATGGAAGAAAATCACATCTGAACAATGCGCCAAATTATTGAAGTCCTGTAATTGTAGATGTGAAGAAGTAATTAAAAGCCGTACCCCTGTAATTAATATCAATCAAGTCAATAATAGTGGTAATTTAATTTACATATCTATTTAAATTTTGAATGCTACACTTTTTTTGTCATAAATGTTTCTGATCTATAAGTTTTTTGCTATGGTTCCTTTTATGTAAATTTATAACAAGTTTTTAATATTTACAGAAATTTTTATCCAATTCAACAGATTTATTTTTAAACTTTCAATCTTTAATATTGGATGCTGCTATATAATTTTCAATGTTGTAATTGACCTTATATGTATAACACTGATTGATTGATTCATTTTCTATGGCTTATCAACCCTTTTGCAGGTTATTTAAAGCCAAAAAATATTTTGAGATTGTAAGAATTTATTTTTTTGGACATAATAATAATAATTGATACAAGTCTTACTAATTAACCCATAGCTGGGGAGTAGAAAAGGTGGATTCATACCTTTCCCAAGGATATTTGCAAGTAAGTGAACATAACAAACCCAACTGGAACTGAAACTCAGCTCACCAATTAACAATTCTGAGCCATTATCCATGATACCAGCCACACATCTAAGTTTACATCACTTGGTATGCCCAAACTGTCAACTATCATGGTACTGACCAGGCTTGACATTGCTTAACTTTGGTGAGTGTATGTGAACCAGTGTTTCAACATGATATGACCACAATCCCTTATATGTATATCAAGCAACACTGATTATGATGCAAGTTTATTAGCATCAAATAAACAAAAGCTACAGTTAAGACATAGGAAAGTATTTTTATTGAAATGTTTTAAAGAAATAACATACATGAAAAAAAATGCATTCATTTATTAACATGCATGTTGCCAAGAGCAGAAAACAGTGTTAAAAACATGATTCAATATAGTTTCCTGTTTATCGATGTAAATTGACAATGATGACAAACTATGTCAAATTTACTTTTAGAGAGAGATACAGAAATGTCATTCATAAATTAAAAAAAGTTACAATCAGTGTCATGACTTACTTGGATATTGGCTTTCTTTTCTTCTTTCTTTCTTCGGATGTATTCAATTAACGGTGTTGTCATTTTAGGAACACCATGGTTGGCTGTAATTTAGGAAAAACAAAACATACGACTATGATAAGTTTTATGACATAAGAATTAAATCAAATGCAAGCACAATATCTCATGAAAAAAAAATCTTTTCATTGGCCAAGTTTCTGATGAAATTAGGTGAGCACAAAACGCTGGAATTGATTGCACAGAAATCTGTTAATAAGTAGCTCCACTCCAGAAATAAAACAAAAAGAATCTTGTGACAGCAGAGGCAAGACTTTGACATAATCAGCTTTAGACATTTCGATAGTCTGTACTTGTGGGAATTTAAGTTCTTATGAAATCAACATTGAACCTTTAGTCACTTTGAAGTGAAAAAAAAAAAGTGGGGGAAAATTAACAAGTATTATTAATGGAATAAATGTGCAAAAGGCAAATCATAGATGCCAAGATGTTTGCAATTGTTAATGTGGGGGAATAAAAATTTTTTAAACATATTTTTTTCAGGACTCATAAAAAATAAATATTTAGAATAAAGTACAGTTTCAAAATTATCAATTATAAATGCCTTAGAGACAAAGTTTTGGAGGAATGGTGTATGTATATGTCATACTCTGTATATAATAAAGAGTCATAACACTGTATTTCATTGTACAGGAATTGATCCCTGATTTTTCCTGAGTTTATCACAATTGATTTAGTTTCTGGGGAAATAAAAGAATCATATTAGCTAAAAATGACTTGCAATGTGAAATTAAATAATCAAAAAGAATCACACATGAAGTTAATTTCTATTTTATACATTTTGTACAAATACAAATTTCTGTTCTGAGGTTTATTTTTAAAATTACAACAAAAACTTGAGGAATCATTTTTTTTTTTTAATTGGTCACAGGGCAATTGAAAATATTTTTTTAAAATTACCCCCATGTGAAAGTAAGAAGCAGTGAGATCTGCATAATTTGATGAAAGATCTTGGGAATGGGCCATCATTTTCAATTTACTAGTCTGCTAACCAAAGGAAGCATCATTGTACAGACAATTGCTTTTTCTTATTAAAAAATAATCATTGTGATTTTAATATGTTAATGGATATTCAGAGATAACAGATAATTAAATTTTAATAAAATGCAAAAATAAATGTTTTCTTAATTAAAGAATATTTTCAAAAACTTCTTCTGATAATTCATAAGTAGAAGTTATTTTAGATTTCTTTCAATGTCTCCAGATGTTCAATATATCTAAAATACTTTGTAAATAGAGAGCTACTTAAGAAGAAATACTCATCTCCTGCCAAGGAGAAATACTCTCATCTCCTGCCAAGGAGAAATACTCTCATCTCCTGCCAAGGAGAAATACTCTCATCTCCCCGCCAAGGAGAAATACTCTCATCTCCTGCCAAGGAGAAATACTCATCTCCTGCCAAGGAGAAATACTCTCATCTCCTGCCAAGGAGAAATACTCTCATCTCCTGCCAAGGAGAAATACTCTCATCTCCTGCCAAGGAGAAATACTCTCATCTCCTGCCAAGGAGAAATACTCTCATCTCCTGCCAAGGAGAAATACTCTCATCTCCTGGTTTATACACATTTTGCTGCTTCCTTCTTTTTTTGTCCAGTTTCACTTTCATGTGGTTTGTATCAATTTTTTGTAAACTGCTAATTGCTGGTTTTAAAGAACGTTTGAGATGCTACCTACTGGAAAGCTGGACAGACTTTATACTGATGGACACTATAATACACTAGATACCAAACAGCAATTATAATGATTTCATAATAACATAGTAGCCCAGGATTCTTAGTAATGGGATTTTATTTTCTGATCTTGGTTTGTTGATATTTTCTCCTGATTTTGGTGGTGGGGGACTTTAAAATTAAATGAAAAATGGGTTCTTCTATAAATTACAATGTTTCAAATATTTTTGTTTAATTAATTTCTTCTTGGGATTTAAGAAACGTGGTCCTTCCAAAAAATGTTAAATGTTAGGCCAAATTTTGGGAAGCGGGTCAGCATTTCCTTGTAAATATCTACTAAAGAAGTAACATTTAGAAAGGCCTCAAAAGACCTTATATAAATTTCATTCCTGGTCAATATTATAATTTCTTTAGTTAGGAATGAATCTGAGTTGTGTCTAAATGAAAAATGGAAAAGATTGGTTTGGTTAATTTGTTTTACGGTATATCAACCTCAATGGGTTATTTAATGCTGACAAAATTGTTATTGTTGGTAATATTTTTTTTGAAAAATCAATTTCTGGCAATATTTTTTTCTTCAAAAATCTATTTCTGGTAATAATTTTCCTTCAGTTATGTGTAGCTGGTAATATTTTTCTCAAAAATGTATTGCTGGTATTAAAACCTATTTTCACACGTGTTGTCCCCAGTTTGGGGGCGTTCATTATTTGCCCATAGCTAGGACCCTGACAGGTGCTACCACTCCAGGTCAGGGTGGACCTGGGAACACCAGCAATTAAGAGTTGGTTCCATGCCCCTCAAAACCTCCTGATCAGAGGCCTTGCTGTTGGATGTAGTTTTACCCAGGACATGGACGTAATTTATTGTCATACCCAGGACGAAAAAGTGGAAAAGAGTAATAAAATTGAATATTATGTTAAAAGCAAATAAAATTTATTCATGCGAAAAGAGACTACAGACAAAAGATTCACATGTTTTCAGCAGTATTATTTTAGACAGTAATCATAACCTTATATTCCCCAATGAGGGTCGGTCCCCCTTCAAAATGTCACATTATTAAAAGGCACAGCAGTTATGTTATTTATAAGAAATGCTGCAAAATGGAAAAGACACATTATTTCCTTTAAGTTGGTAAATTCATTTTAGGAGATTTTTCATATCACATTATCTGGATTACATATTGCAATTTACATGGATTTTGAGGTGCCAGAACATTTTCCAAGATAGTAGAAATTTCATATTCCATTTGCAGAGGAAATTTTTGGTCCTTATTAATGGCATAAATCAAAGGTATGTGAAGACAAACTTGAGCCAATTCTGTTTTATTTAAAGAAAAAACAGTCAAACCTTTAAGCTCCTTTTTCTTGTTCTCCAGTTCTTCCAAATAAGCTTCAATAGGAATTGTTGGTTCAGTTTCTGGGTTCTTCAATATTTCTAAAAACTTCTGGTATTCACTATCTAAAAATGAAAAGCATAAAATGAAAGATATTTATTTAACATGGGTGCATAAGAAATCATAACAAACCAAAAAAATAATACAGAGTAGATATTTCTCTGTTAAAAAAACAAAACTAGAATGGAAACAACAAAAAACAATCAACATTATTAATTCCAAAAGAGAAGAAAACCAAATAAAAATCCAAGAAAACTTATTCTATATATATATATATATATATATATATATATATATATATATTTTAAATAGGTTTGAAACAGTACAAAAAGCGTATTAAGGCATTAAAAACTAGAAATTTTGTATTGTAGGCCATGATAAGTTTAAAATAAAACACACACCAGTCGACCGGTTTCGTCCCCTCTCAGAACTGTTAAAGGGGAACTAAGATTATGAGGAAAAGAAAAAAGTCTGTCATGGGTGACATGAATGAATGGACAGGGAAAAAAAAAAATTATACCAACCAAGCTGCTAAAAGCGCAGAACAGCAATTCCAAGCAAACAATCAATTTGTTTGCAAAGAGCAGGTTGCCTGGACCTGATGTAAAGTGACTCCAACACCTTAAGATGGAAAAGTGAGTGCGAACTGGCCAAAACGGAAAATCAGTTCACATTGAAATCCATCGCACAAGTTGGATTCTTTATAAAATGATCCGCAATCGAAGAACCATACGTGTTACGAATGGTATCACCCAAAGAAAATTTTTTATTCAGTATTATAGCAGGTACATGTTGTTTAATTCTAACGTCTAACCGCTGTGTCGTTCTACCTATGTAGTTGCATCCACAACTACATTTGAAATAGTAAATAACAGAGTTAATATGGTGGGGAGTAGAACATCTTTACACATAGATGAAAGTACGGACTTAGTTTGAAAGACAACACGAACGTTCGCTGCAAAATAACACTCACGTGAACTACATGAAATACGCTTGGCGAAGGAATCACTAATCCTACCCAACCACGGTAAACGAAGATAGACCGGACATTTACCCACTGAAGCAGGTTTGATTTTGTTGAACCTGGCAGTCTCATCTCGAATAACCGATTGAACAATGTTCAACGGATAACCATTGTTCACAAAGATCTCAGTTAAACAACTGATTTCATGTTTCAAGGTGTCACCCGAACAAATCATTAAGGCCCTATGTGTCAGGGTCCTAATCAAATTAATCTTTTGTTGTTTAGGACACAAGGAGTCCCATCGAGTATATAGTCCTGTAAAAGTAGACTTCCTGTACACAGAGCTAATAAACAAGGAAGGAGTTCTTTGAACAAGAACATCTAAAAAGAGCAATGAACTATTGACCTCCTTATCTACTGTAAATTTAAGGGCAGGATGAACACCATTGAGTAGGGAAAAAAATTGATACACTTCCGATTCATGGCTGAACACACAAAAAGTGTCATCCACATACTGAAAGTAAACCTTGGGTCGGGCAGAACATAACAAAAGGCTTTCTTCGTAAAAACCCACAAAAATATTTGCCAACACAGGACCCAAAGGGGAACACATCACAACACCATCGATCTGATGATACATGATATTGTTGAAACTAAAATCGACAAACATAGTGGCAAATTTCATGAGTTCAACGAACATTTCTTCAGGTATATTCGGAGGAGTCAAATCGCTACGATATAACATATCGCTGCAAATATCGATAGTCTCCGATAAATGAACACAAGTGAAGAGGCTACAGATGTCAAAGAAACACATAAATCCATCAGTGGCATCACAATTCCGAATGAATTTGGAAAAAGAAAATGAATCTTTAATACAAAAGGAACTGTAATGCTGCAACACTGGTTGCAACATTATAGCAAGCCACTTTGCGACTTTATGCTGTGAAGACCCAATCATCGATAATATGGGTCTCAACGGGACACCCTTCTTATGAATCTTGGGTAAACCATAAAGACGGGGACGAATAGAGCCAAGCGGTCTCAATTGCTCCGCCATTTCAGAAGAAAGAACACCACTTTTTACCCATTTGACAAGATGTTTCTGAAATCGAATTTCAGAAGTCAATGTAGAATCATGAGTGTCAATGGAACCAAGACGTTGAAACTTGGAAGGGTCATTCAATATACTTAACATTTTGTTAATGTAATCATGATGGTCTATGAGGACAACACCCGATCCCTTATCCGGTTTAGTAATATGGTTATTCTTAAGGGATCTAATAACGTTATGGTGTTCACTTATCCATTTTGATTCAGAGAAAGAAATAGGAGAACTAGCATAAGAATGAGCCAAATCATTCAATTTAGCTCGAAAGTCACTGGATTTATTATCAGACATCGGTTGAAGTTTCGAGAGTTGAGCATACAATACTTCAAATTCAGAAAAAATATTCTCCCTACTAATAGAAGTGAAAGGAATGCTAAAATCTAGGCCGTGGGTCAAGATAGCAAGCTCAATCTCTGAAGGAGAATAAGAAGACAAATTAACTACATTTTTTGTAGCATTTGGTTCAACCATACAGCCAAATCTCTTGGAGATAAGTTGTTTTAACTTATTCTGAAAACTGCTAGCCATCTTAGAACGACAACGTGCAGATATCAAACCAACGTAACGGGCAAAGCGGATCCTATCAAAATAGGATAAATAATTACCTGCCTCACGCCATAACAGATGATATCTTCTTTGTAGGCCCAAATCCTGGTTAGAAAATTGTAAGAGAAAATCCTTAATAAAGGCTCTCTCTATGCTCCAACCAGACACCAACTTAGCCCGCCTAATCCGAAAGGAAATAAAAGACGGGCAAACCTGGCACTGAAGACAAGAATGTAAAAAATTTGTCTTAACCTTCAATGTTTCAATTTTAGACCTAATCTGTAACAATTTATTCAATTTTCTAATTGACTCAGGGGAGTACGTTTTCTTAAAATATTTAAATAGGTTTGAAAGGGTACAAAAGCGTATTAAGGCATTAAAAACTAGAAATTTTGTATTGTAGGCCATATATATATATATATATATATATATATATTTTTTATTCAGAAAGTTTTTCCTTATGATTTTAATTTTTTTTTCTGCTGAATTGACATGGGAGATGACTAATTTGCAAAATAGATTAGTACAGAGCTGACAAGCAAGATCCACAACAAAGTAAAATTAATGAAAAATAATGCGCCTCAGCTGCAAGTGAAAGCCCACCTTGCTCAATGGTTCCCTTCTTTGTGTCTGCTTTTCTCATCTTCTTCTTGGGAACTTTCTGAAAAGGAGCAAATTCTACTACAGCTGAATACTCATTGCCTGAAATAAAAATTGTTAAAGAATAATGTATGCAGTTGTAAAATAAAAAAATAAGGGAATGCTTTCTAAAACTATACATTCATGTTACTATTTTACATTTGGTTCTGTCTAACACTTATTCCAAATACTAAGTAATGAGATCGACTGAAGACAGGTGGAGAAATTACCTTTTCTACTCTTTTTTATTACTTATAACAAGAATAATTTTTAACTATATTTTGGGAATGGATGTTTACAAGCCAAATTCTCTTAATCAACAAAGCAAATTATTTGTCACCCAATTTATTAATTTTTGCTTATTTATAAACTTGCAGTACAAGTTAGGAGGCTAAATAAAAGCTTTTATTGAAGTTTTTTTTTTCTATCAAGTATGAGATGACCATTACAATATAATTACATTTTAATGTAATTTGAAAAGTAAAATGATACACAGAAGAGTAAACCTTTTAAAACTGATAACTCAAGATCAATGAAAAGCAGATCCTTTACTTATTTATTATAATGGCCAGGACACTTTGTTCCTTTAACCCTAAACACTCTGCATTATTATTATTATTATTACTACTTCCCTTTCCACTGCATTCTTTTTCAAGGCCTCTCTTTTTCAGTATGATTATTGTTAATTTCACTCAAAGTTGTTTTCTGTTGCCATAGCTGGATATGACAACACAACTATGAAATTCAAACATACTATTGTTCAGGGATCAGAGTTACCTACAATGGCAGGATAAACTTTTTGTACAGCAAATGAAGTCGCATACAGAGTGATAAAGGTTAAGCTGGGAAATTTTAAATTAAATGTGTAATTAAAAATGGATTTCTATTAAGAATGTGTCTAAAAAAAAAAAAAAGAAAAAAAAAAAACAATAATCATAACTTACCTTTCTTATCAACAAAAACATAATCATCAAATTTATCTTTAAAAGTGTAAATATCATCAGGACAGGGGAAATTAATGTAAGCACGAGTGAAGGCATTAGATCCAAGACTGCAAATAGAGAATTAACAATTATCACTTATGGTCAGATTGGAAAGAAGAATGATTCTATCAAGTACATTATACAATGATTTTTGTTTTCCCTGAACATCAAAAATGTATAAGGAATAGAGTAATTGAAATAGCAGTAAAACAAATGAAGATGGATAATTTTGAAGAAATGGATACAAAACAGATGAGAAGTAACATTTCAGTTGATCTTTCATTTATAGAATAATAATAAACAAAATGCAAATGAGAATTGATAGAAATGATTAAAATTGAAAATTACATATTGATTAGTAGTACGAGAATGCATCAGTAAGTCTGTAGCCTGAAATTTGACAGGAGATTTTCACTGTATAATTTCCAATCCATATGAATAATATTGTCCATTGAAGTAAGTGATTCTGACAAGGAGGTTAAGTTGAAAAATATGTTGTGTAAAATAAAAAAAAAGTTTCTTTTCATCATTAAGCTACAGACTTATTGATATACATATAAAAACTTAGCATGTAACTGCCTCAATATTGGTTCTAACAAGAAATATTTTTACTAACTCATTTGGAAATTAATAAAAGACACTGAAAAATATGTGGTTGGTTTCAAAAGTAATGACTCCAGTTTTATTATGGCAGTCTACAGCATTAAAGTTAGATGCTAGTAGTATGGCAATAGAGGTTGGGCTTTCTTAGTAATAACCTATAATTTTGGTGACATTATTGCAGAGTAGTTGTAGAACAGTCAGACAAAATTACATCTGACATGAAATTACATACAAAGCAGAGATACATCACTGAAATTCTATTATATTGAAAAAAACGCATCTATTAACATTCAATGAAACTAGCTGAATGTTTATGGAGACCTAACAGTGAATGTGAGCACAGTTCAGTGTTGGTTAATGTATTCTAGCAGTAGTGACAGCAATGTGTGCGATAAGTCTCTTCCAAGTGTGACATGCAGACTCTTGTTCCTTGCTTGTGGAAATGCATATCCAATGACAGTGATTGTGTAGAACAATGGTATGATTTAGCAGAAAACTTGCTTTAGCCAACTACATTACAGTATTGCCTGTATCTATTTCAGTTTCTATGGAAATCAACAAGTGGCTTTACTTTCAGAACATCCCCTCATATATTCCAGTGTAACAAAAAATATAGTATAGAACATTTAGATGATATGTTTACCTCATGTCAGCTTTTACAAAGTAAAAATAGTCATAAAAAGGGAGTGGAGAGACTTGCTCCAGAAACACTTCAGGGGTGAGGGAAGGTGGCAGGCGTCGGATAACAACCTGGAAAAGTAAACAAAAAAAAAAAAGATAGAAACCTTATTTTCAATGTGCGTACAAATCTAAGTAATTGATTTTAATTTATACAGAAATGTAAATAAAATTCTTAAAAGTAAATGCAATAGTACAAATTTAAATAAAACAACAGACAAAAGAATTAATTTCAGGTCATCATTGAAATGTTGATTTTAAAAACAAACACTGAGAGTTTGCTTCTGAACTCTACGACTGTCGAGGTCATTATATTCTCACCCCAAGGGAAGTAAACTGACTTTGCTCTTGTCAACATCTACTTTTTCTACTAAAGATTGCTATCACTGTACAAATATACAGCTAGGATAAAAGGAGAATTTTTTTTTAGTGTGGTTACCAAAGCATTCACAGCCTTCTTAGAATCTCTTTAGAAGCTGACATGTAAGTCCATAGTTTTAAGTTGTCCTGCTTCATTGATGTTCACTGTTTCCCACAATACGATCCCAGATCTCATCACCAGAGGTTTTTCCTAACTGGTACTCCTTTACAAAAGAGTAACCTGTAAAACTTCTTCAAACAAATTTTCTTTTAAGGAGTACATACATGATCCAACATCAATGACTTTCTCATGGTCTATGACCATTGGCCCTTGTCCCCACCAATACATGACAAACACATACTCTTCACACAACATGGTATCCTGTTAATTGATATTATGTCTGAATTCTTAATTCCTGTTACTTTTTCTCATCCCATATTTAGATGTACATTATCTATGTGGCTTTTACCTAGACACAATCTCTCACTTCATATACACCATGTTTCTTCACAAGATACATCAACATCCTTTACTTAAACTTGGAAGGTGCAGAGGAGATTGAAACATTGTCCATTGATATTATAGTTGCACACGTCTATGCTTTTGTCAAACTTTATTGTGCTTTCTCGACTCAGAATGAGAAATTGGAGAACCGAGTTCAAACTCAAGTCAATTACATTACATTTACTTATGTGCAAATACCCTTGGTAAAATATCAATCATCATTTCTCCCTCAGTTAAATAGTAGGGCTTGTATCTGGAAAAACCATTATTCACAAGAAATTGTTAATGCAATATTCGCACACACAAAAGAATACGTTTCATTTTTGAATAAGCCACAAAGGGCTGATAAGCCATAACAATCAATCAATATTGTACTTTTCAGAGACTTGCAAGCCCAGCCCTGTCTTCCAATAACTCTGCAAAGTTCAAATTTTTCTAAATGCAACCTTATATGTATTGTAGGCACATGCCACATTCTGGATAGATTAATTCTGAAAAATCCGTGCTGACAAAGTGATCTAACTGTTAATATTCCAGATGGCTGAAGCAGGACATAACTGTTTGGAACAACCAAAGTGGATTGTTTATCAATTACTAAGATATCAGCTCCTTGTTGACACCTCTCCCTTAACTTATACTCACAGATGTATGCATTGGCCTTAAATGTGCTGACAATTCTTGACAGTCTAGCACAGGTCATGTATTTTCCAGCAGCATGGCTATAAATAAGATCAAGTTTGGCCTTGGGGTATAACTGCAACCAGCTATACTTACAGTTTGCAGTTACACTCCTCTCTAATCTGCTTAGAGATGGGATATTCTGACACACTACTCATCAATCTCTCTGGCTTTTAAGCATGTGACAATGTCCACCATGCAGTTTTGACCATGTTTTGGTTCAATTCTGCAGTGAAATCAGGTTCATTAATCTTACTGGTCATGCATAGAGGCATGTCATCATTGGGAAAGAATACAGTCACAAACTGAATTATTTGAACTACACTCAATTCTTTATTAATATTGAATCCATGAAGAAGACCAAACCCTAATAGCTGTTCACAATCATCAAATCTGGTGTGAAGAAGGTGGCTGACATGGTTAGGCCATATTCAGATACACCTCTGAATAGTACTGCAAATTTTTCTAACTCTGCAAAGTATATATCCATGAACTTGCCTGGTCATAAATTTTGTGCTATGAATTCTTTATAGGTTCTAAGTCTGTTGTGAAAACTATTTATAGGGTATTTTCTTTTTTTATTTTGCTTTACATTAGACTTGTCTGCTTCACTTCGCTGTTGATAAATAGCAAATATTCTACTTGTCAAACACAATGGAAGAATTTATTTGACTGTTTTCAACCCATGGACAAGTTCTGTCTTCTCACTTTTTTTGATTACAAAATGACTAGCCACAGAGCAGTCAGACATATATGTCTATGTCTATATATATATATATATATATATATATATATATATATATATATATATTAGGAGATCGCCAATTCTGCTACCTTGGCTTCAACCTTTTGGTATCTTCAGGCGATTCCAGTCAATTGATTTCTTAACAATTTATTTTTTCAAAATTAATGAACGCTTTATAATTTAAAAATAAATAATATATATATATATATATATATATATAAAGAAATGGACAAGGTCCGACAATTTATTTATTAAAGACATATTTTATGTTTAACGTTGTTATTTTATAGATACAAGTATTTAAGCAAATGCTCTGTTTATGATAAACAGTATTAAATAACATTTACCGCCTGAATGTCCGAGAAATTTTCATAGAAAATATTCGTTTCTTTGACAGGATTCAACCTGCATCCTATACGGAACCGTCATATACGCTGACGTGCCTTACCGCTTAGGCTACAAAAGAAGCGTTATTAGACAAGGTCGAATTTACTGCTTATAAACTCAATTTTCCATGAATCTCGTACATTCATAACTGCTCTGGCGTATCGAATGTAAACAAATGACGTCATATATTAAGAAATGGACAAGGTCCGACAATTTATTTATTAAAGACATATTTTATGTTTAACGTTGTTATTTTATAGATACAAGTATTTAAGCAAATGCTCTGTTTATGATAAACAGTATTAAATAACATTTACCGGCCTATGAAAATTTCCATATAGGATGCAGGTTCGAATCCTGTCAAAGAACGAATATTTTCTATGAAAATTTCTCGGACATTCAGGCCGGTAAATGTTATTTAATACTGTTTATCATAAACGGAGCATTTGCTTAAATACTTGTATCTATAAAATAACAACGTTAAACATAAAATATGTCTTTAATAAATATATATATATATATATATATATATATATATATATATATAACTAACAATCAGTTTCTGAGCTGTAAAGTGTTTTATCTACCACCACAAGATTTATTACACTCTAACAACAGATGAACTGAACGGATTTGCTTCAGATCAACATTTTCTATTTTGACTTAACTATATACTGTGATACAAAAATGCATGCTCAGTTGCAAAAAAAAAAAAAAAAAAAAAATCAGGTAGAAATGTGACACAATCTTTTTATATCCAAGCTTTTTCTTGGCAATATTTGCACCCCGGCTTTGTCCCATGTCAATAAAAACACATGCAATCACGCAGATAATGACAAGTGTTTGTTCTGGGTGATAGTCATTTCATTTTGGTGAAAGTGTCATCTGCTGAATTGTCCCATGTGTCATTTGCTTTAACTCCCCATTTTAGGTGAAAGTGTCACCTACCAATTGCCCCTCGTGTATTTGTGTTAGCCCTCTCTTGGGAAAGTGTCACCTACCAATTGCCCCTCGTGTATTTGTGTTAGCCCTCTCTTGGGAAAGTGTCACCTACCAATTGCCCCTCGTGTATTTGTGTTAGCCCTCTCTTGGGAAAGTGTCACCTACCAATTGCCCCTCGTGTATTTGTGTTAGCCCTCTCTTGGGAAAGTGTCACCTACCAATTGTGTGTGTTGTATCTGTTGGTCTCCAGAGACCATAGGATGTCTCAAACGCACACAATTAGTACCTACCAATTACCCTTGTGTTTATTTGCACTGGGCTATCTTATCACATTAACCTACATATGCATTTTAGATAAAAAAGATTTTTTTTTTAATATTTCATTTGCCAAGCACTGCATAGAAGATTAATTGATCTCTTTTTTTTTAAAATTAGACCATTGTTTTCATTTCTTTTGCAACATTCATCATTTCCACCACAATTGGTTTCTAATGTTTTATTATCTCTATTTTTTTTTTTTTTTTTTTTTTTAAAAGGTTTTAATAATTTGAAAAATGACTAAATGAAGGACCTTAACTCTAACCCCTGTTGTAAATCATATTTCTGCAAATCAACAGGGACGAGCATTCCACATCAGATGGTTTAACTATGTCAGGTTGTATGAATGGAAACATTTTATTTTTATGACTTTCTCTTAGCAGTTTTGGGGGAATAAATATTCAATCAAGAAAAAACAAAATCAAACAAAAAACAGCTACTGGGCAATTTCATAAAATAAAACAGTTTTTTTCTTTGTTTTTTTTTTTTTTCATATTCTTTCCCTCTATATACACACACAGAAACAGAGAGAAAGTCAAAAATAGTCTTTGTATAAGTTAGGCTTTTTTATTTAATTTACATATGAAAGTACAATCAAGTTTCTGGAAGTCACAAAATTCATTTTTTTGGTGTGATTTCGAAAAACCTTATTGTGCTCATCCCACATGTTATTTAAATTTAAACAAAAAAAAAAAAATATAGAGTATTTTTGTCATCCACATTTTGTTTAAACGTGGAAATTTAAGAAGAAAAGTGAATTTTGGATAATTTTTTTTTTAACCAGCCCCGTTTGTTATTTCATTATTCATTCTTTTTTCTCCAAGTTATTATGGGATTTGCTGATCTTCAATGATCATAAAGTGACAAACATTCTTTACTTTTCTTACATTTTTCAAGGAAGAAAAATGAATAAACATAAAAAATCTATTTGAATGTAAAAATAAAAATGTTTTGCTGTCCCAAGTTGACGAAAACAATAAAAAAGATTTAATAATCTATAAAGTTTCAACTTCAAGTAATATTAATTTTGTTATTTTTTACTTAGAAAAATCTTCCAATTTCTTAAAGATTAAAAGTGAAAAAAGGTAAAATAAAAATCTTTTTCTAATTAAGAAAAATAACAATAAAAAATTTTATATTATTTTATTTACGATTAAAAAAATGTTAAATTTCGTTTCATCACAAAAGCGAAACCGTAGATTTTAAGTAGAATACATTTCAATTTACTAATTGTTGAAAGGAGGTTTTACTTATTAATATTGATAATAAAAGATAAAATTCATTTAAATCAAAAACTGAATAAGAAATATTTATTTTTCATAGGAGAATTTTGTTTTTGCGTTCATTATTTCATGTTGACGAAACCTTTTTAGAGACGACGACGACGATAATAATGCCTGAACCTTTGCAATTTACCTTTGTAGGTGGTTGATCCCTGTCCTTTTTTCGCTCGTCCATACATTTTTTTTCAACCATTTTTGACTGTTTATGGTCGCTTTTCGTATCTTGGGTCATTTTACGTATTCTGGCCGTCATCAGGATGCCATGTTATTTACCATCCACACACAAAAGTTACAGACCGGAAGTTTACCCAGCGTCCCACTTTCGAAAATAACAATTTTTATTTAAAATTCATAGTGCACTGATTTAAAAAAAATCCATTCAAAAAATAATTTGAAAAATATTTAAATACTTTTATTTTTAGGTAAATGTATATTTTTTATTTTTATGATGCTGTCCCTAAATTGAAATGTAAATTCTATTCAGCCCGATAAACCGGAAGTGTTTCGCTTCGGAAGGTCACCCGACAAAGTTGTAAGTACGAAGTCAAAAATTTATAGTAGTTTTTTTTTTAGTTCTAGGATTAAAAACAAACATGCTTTAATTGTAATTTTACGCATATACTTATATTATCTGTTGTCTTGTACTTTTTTTATTGCGCAGTGTTGTTGAATTAGTGTAATTAACTACCCAACTTGAGTTTCCTTGTGATTTATTTTCATTTTTCAAGGTATTATTTTCTCATGTAGTATTTGAAATTTCTTACCAATTTGTTTTTCGTGAATAGTTTTTTTTATTTTTTTTATTTAATTCTTTGTTATGTGACTTGATGTTAAATATCTTCTTTTTATGATGATGATCAAAGTAATTGCATTTCATATGTATTGTTTATTTTACAATTTGAATTAAGGAATATAATTCGGACCACCCTCGACCAGAAATAATATTTTTATTGTTGTTTGTTTTCATAATAATACAAGCTGCCCAGATTATGAATTCCCAATTTTTTAAAAATTACATTTTATAAGCATTTGTTTTGACTTCTTCGGCTGGGATCAATTTTAATTAATTTTTTAAAATTTATACCAAACTGGACCACCTTCTAAAAACTTTTATAAAATTTAATAAAAATAATAATAATAAATGCAATAATGTTTTTACTTTTTGCACAGACCGTAAAAAAACGAAATAATAAAAAACGAATCTAGATAGCGTATATACCAAATTCCCTTTTTTTTTTATTTCTTTTTTGGTAATGCCTTGTCCTTTCAGGATGTATTGTAGGACATCATAGTTCTCTACACGGATTACCTTCCTTGGCGTAACTTGTAAAAAAGAAAAAAAAAAAAAATAGTGAAGTGGGTTTTCTGTTGCCTTCCCTTTGATATTCCTTCTGCTGTTATCGAAGGCTCAAGAGCTTCGTCTACCCTGTTATTTGTAACCCTGAGAGATAAGATAAAAATTAATTCCTTTCCCAATAATTTTTTCATTGCCATTGTACAAAGTGTCACCTTCAGGTAAAAGATGAATGAGGAGGCAAACAAGAAAAAAAAAATACGTGATTACAGCATCACTAAGTGGACTCTGGGAGATCATTCAGAGATTCCAATATTGACACACAACTGAGACATATAGATGTGGGTAGTCAGGTGCTCAGTGACCCTGTCTAGTGACCTTACAATAACATTGTCATGGGATTGATGATGTTGAACACCGCACATTGCTGGAAATTAAATTTTGTTTACTTTCATGGACTTTCTAAAAAAAAAAAAAAAAAAAATATATATAGATAAAAAATCATTTTAAATAATTTAAATGTTTTCTTTGAAGTTAAATTTTGGTTTTATTCGAAGGATAATAGCCTAAAGTTAATCTATAAAAATATTATTTTCCATTTTAAAAAAATATCTGAATTATTTTTAAACCAAAAAATTAAAAACAAACTTCTGCCCAGTTTGGTTAGCAAATTTGATGGATGCCAACAAAAAAGAGATTAAAACATTTTAAAAATTTTTCCATTCATACAACCTGACATAATTAAACCATCTGATGTGCAATGCCTGTTGATTTGCAGAAATATGATTTACAAGGGTCCTTCATTTAGTCATTTTCAAAAATTCTTAAAAATCTAATATCTGTTCCAGATATTTGTTTTGAAGAAAAATAATAAAATTAAGGATTGATTAATTAGATTTTGTTAAAAATACATTTTTTCCCAGCAGTGTATCTCCTCACTTATTTACATTTTTGGAAAGTCAAACTGCTATCTTATAACTCTTCCTCCTGTTACATTTCAAAAGGAATATAAAAAAGAAAAATAAGGGGGAAAAAAAGATGGAAAATATTTAAGTGACACTTTTATTTATTATAAATATATTTTGATAATGTTCTTAACTCTTCATGTCAAAATATTTAATTTGCACCCCACATGGTCTTTTTTTAATTATCTTCCTATGAAAATTTATTAAAAGAATGTAAACTAGAAAAAAGGTTGATAAACAAATTAAGTTAATCATTAATTTACCAATTTTTGTTTTTTATTGAGAAGTTTATTCATTTAGAAAATTTTGTGAAAATTTCATTTGGGTCACTCACAAACTCATACTTAGTATCCAAGTAAGTTTTTATTTTTACTGAATTTCTAACATTATTATAATAACAATTAAAATTTATTAAACAGATAAAAATATGATCAGTATGAGGAGATTAGTAATAAATTTCAATAATTTATGGTGACCCTGAAAAGGACGACCATAAAGGACCCCCTAAAAGGAATAGATACACGAAATCCCAATAAAAAATAAAATATTTCATTGGCACAAAACAGGTAATATTTCAATTTTTTTTTTCCTGCTCATATTTTGTAAAAAGCTATTTTTTACAGAATACAAATAGACAAAGATATTTTTTTTTTTTTTAACTTTTGCGATCATTTTAAAATCTTAGCCCTCAAAAAAGTTTCCTTATTCATTATTGCCGAAGAAAAAAAAAACTTTTCTATTTCTGAAACAGAAACAAAATGTAGTTGAATTCTTGAAAAAAAAAAGATCCTGTTTAGAATTAAATAAAATTTCACACTGGTTTCTTATGTTTTTAAAAATTAATTTATGTATTATGATAGACAGGAAAGTCTATCATCTGCTTACATGAGACATATTCTATGGGTTAAGTGCATTCTGAACATTAGACCCTCATTATTTACATTGTTTGTACTGTTGTCCTCATCTTTATTGCCATATTCACAATGTTTTGGCTGTTGTATGCTTCGGCCTTCTTAATGGATAAAAGTGTTGGTTGGATCCAGTGATTTGACCCAAAGAGTTGTGAATTCAGTACATGGCTACTCCACTGGTGAACAAAAATTTGGAGAGTTGTTAAACAGAAACAACTGAAACATCTGGAAGTGGCATGGCATGTGGAGCTAGAACAATCTATCCTGGTGAACGAAATAAAGAGTTTAGTTCAAAATACCAATTATATGAAGAAAGCCAGAGTGTACAACAGTCAAAATATCATGAATATGGCAATAAAGATGAACAATGTAAATAGTGTAAATAGTTACAGTATCACATCTCAGAAATATAGACAGATCCTGAAGAAGGCTGGAACGTACAACTTCCGAAACATCATGAACATGGCAATAAAGATGAGGACAACAATCTGAAGAATGTAAATAATTACAATACATCATCTCAGAAATATAGCTTGATTAGACCATCGTTTAAAATTTTAAGTGCATTTCAGCAATTATTGTATGAAAGCCTTCCAAATGGTGGCCACTTTTGTAATATTTGTGTCTGTTTTTTAAAATTTTTGATCTGAAGTGTGAAATTTTAATCAAATTGCAGTATCTAAAGAGTTCCACTCAACCATAAAAAAATGTGGTATGAGGTCATCCCAAGTTTTGCTATTGTTGTCGGGTTGTTATCAATTCCAAACCTTGCCAATGGATCACTCAACTGGTTATTCAGAAATAGAAAGGTAAGAAAGTGTTTGAATTATCACAAAAATATGTTTGCTTAGAAAATATTTTAATGCTTCTTTTTGTAATTTGTTTTTCACTTTGATTAATCTTGCTTTATTTACATTCAGACTAATATCTTCATCAGTTTTGTTCACGCTGACTTCCATGTTACATTCTGGAAATTTCAAATTAAACCATTTATTTAGTCTGCTGGGATAGGATCTTGTTGTTTTGCTATCATTGTTTAGCGATGTCTTGTTCTTTTCTTATCACTGCTCATTTATTGCTCATCCTGTTTTCACAGACAGTGGAACAAGCATGGTGAGTACCAGGAATTATCATGCTGCAAAATCTATGGCTAGCTTCTTTGCTCAGAAAAACGATTTCTTCCTATATGTTATTCAAACAAGCCAATTGCTTACTGTGGTGTTGCACAGTAATAGTTTGTCTAAGATCCTTCATCATGAGGAATTATTTCTGAAGCCTATCAACTACAGAACTTTCTTTTTCCGCCCACCAAATTCTATTTAGGTTGAAATATTCAAAGCTGTCTTTGATTGAGATACAATTTCTTTAATTTTGAATTGTCAATAAATCCATTTTTTTTTTCCTCCCTAGTGTTCATCTTGTTTAAAAATAATTATCTGTTGAACAAAGATGAGAAGTGTGTTTAAAAACTGTACAGCATTATTGTTTCCTTTTGGATTTTTCCCGAGACTTGTAAACAATAAATTTCAGTTGACAAAGTGCACAAGCAATGATGTGTTGTGTAAAAGTCAACTCCTTAAGTTTCCCTAATATTGTGTAAAAAAAAAAAAAAAAAAAAAAATAGCACTTAGGATTTATGTGTCAACTTTGACTTTTGGCTATCAACCAGTTTTGAGGATATTTCTGACTAATTAATTGCTTCTGATGATGACAAGTGAGCCACTCTGATTTACTTTTTGTAAAGAAATGTGATTGTAATCACCTTGAGTAAACAGAACTAAATAATGCTTATTATAATAATAATAATGAAAAAATATGCTGATTACAACAATAAAAACAGACATTAAAAAAAGAAAATTTACAACAAAAAAGGGCAGTAACAAAAAATATTACCATAAAATGGTAATATCAAAATACAACCTGATTAAAAAAAACCCCAAAAAACAACAGCTAAACCAGATTATCTGTTCTTTCTAATCAGAGGTAAGATTAAGGATGATAATGT